GGCGCCAGCTCATAGAGCGAAGAGCACACAAAACTGGCTGGCGGCGCGTGAAATCGACTTCATCCGGCACGAAGACTGGCCCTCCTCCAGTCCAGATTTGAATCCGTTAGATTACAGGATATGGCAAGACTTGGTGGAAAAGGCGTGCTCAAAGCCTCATCCCAATTTGGAGTCACTCAAGACATCCTTGATTAAGGCAGCCGCCGATATTGACATGGACCTCGTTCGTGCTGCGATAGACGACTGGCCGCGCAGATTGAAGGCCTGTATTCAAAATCACGGAGGTTATTTTGAATAAACTTTAGTGTCATAAGAATCTATGTTTTGTTAAGTTCATTTTGGTATATGAATGGTTACATAATGAATAAACTTGTTTCAATTATTTTACATTAAACATGTGACAGAATTTATGACCTGACTAGGTATATGAATTGCTGTTCGTTAGTCTCGTTAAAACTCGAGAACAGCTGGACGGATTTGGCTAATTTTGGTCTTGAATTATTTGTGGAAGTCCAGAGAAGGTTTAAAAGGTAGATAAATATGAAAATGCTCGGAATTAAATAAAAATAACAATTTTGTTTTTCCTTTGATGTGACCTCCGTCGGACCGATTCCTTTTTTTTGTTTTAAGTTTATTTTATACAAAAGCTTAAGTCTTTTATTTATTGATTGAGGCACTACGAAGTCTGCCGAGTCAGCTAGTATTAACTAAAACAGTACCTAACGCAGAATGCAAAAGGCAATCTTGTCGTTTTAAGGGACCTCTTCCAAACAACAATTAGTATAATATTTAAATCAGAAGTCACGCAGAAAAAATGTAACAAGTGTGTACCTACAAATTTTTTTTTTTTGGGGAAGGAATCGTTGATTGGCCGGAGGCCTTTCCAGTTTTACCAACACAGGTGGGGCTCAGCAAAGTGTGGAATTTGCAAACAATCGCCTGAACGTCTCCGTAGACCTAGCAGCTCATGGGCAACTGCTTCACAAATGCGTTCAATAGTACCGAATCGAAATCGCGACCCACTGAGAAACTCAATGGGCTGATCTGTTTTTTATTTATTGCTTAGATAGGTGGGGGGTTATGGGTTAGATTTCATGTCGAACCTTTTGGCGATTTCGCCAAGTACGGTTACCAGGTTCCCTATGCCTGCTCATAGTGCTACAACTGCAATTGTTCACGACGTTTATTGAATCGGATGGATTCTTAAGTAGGTAGTGTAGGTACGTGTCTAGGGCGTCGACAGAGACAGACTACTGCATGAGCCGGAGACCAGAAGTAATCAGCAGCGGCCACGACAAAGCGATTTTCATGACTTCAGGTGTTAGGGTCTAGTGGATGCGCACGTAATGTCGCTATTGGGTCACTATTTAAATGTAATTTAATAAAAATACCTACTGTTATTAAAGTCCTTTTTGGGGTTTGTTGGTTCCGGTAAACTCTAAGCACCAGAGAGTTTCGGAAGACACATCAAACTCATTTTGTTCATCAATAATTGCATTTTAAACTATTATTTTAATTTCTCTACAAGTACAGACAAGCTCATGGCTCACCTGGATTTTAGTAAGCCAAAAACAATGTGTAAATAAAACTTGAAACTGGAATATACCGAGCAAGTAATACTAGCCCGCCCGGTGTTAATAATAATATGCATATCTAATGGAATGCGTGCTACGCAGTTTTTATTTTCCTACCTAAGCTGAGAGCATTGAGAGGCTATTTCAGCGTAACCTTAACTAGTAGGTGAGTTCACGGGGCTCAAACCTGACGACGTTGCTAACACGAACCCTAGTAAGAGCCGTGCTTCGCAGAATCTACCACCGGATCGGAAACTCGACCCACTGAGAAGATTCGGCGAGAAACTCAGTGAGCTGTGTCTGAGAGTTAATTTACTCGTCGAGCCCTATGTCGCAAGCGATGGGTTCGATGAGAACGATGAACGGTGCTTGAGGTACCTAAAAGCGGATCGGGAGGATCCGAAATGACGTGTTTTGGGCGACGTCGACTGCTTTCCATTCTGTCCGCAGGATCGGGAATGTAGTTACCGGCGGCCACAATGAAAGGGTTCTCGTGTCATGCCGCTCTGTCGAAGTGGACTACGCAGCAATGACTTAAACCTGAGCAATTAAAACAGTTACTCCAGACTTCGATGTTGTTTAAATTGATAAGGTGCTCTAGCTCAATACATGGGTTATATCAAAGATATGCTCGATAATCATTGGCATAAAAAGTATTGAGCGATTTTTATTTGAAGAGATTTTAATTCTTTGATAAGAAAAATTTTAAGAATAAAATGCGTATAAAATTATTTATGAATATAATTTATTTCCCACCACCAGCATTTATACCACGTTTTAAAATTCCAATATTTCTTAAGTGTCGAACGATGAAAGGTGTTGCAGTCAAAGTTATGGCTATCCGGAATGGAGCGAAAATTTTGTGGACTGTATAGGCTATAACAAAAGTCCCAGCATTTGAACCAGCAGCCTTCAAGACAGTTCCCTCTTCTATGTTTAAATATTTCAGAATAGCCACTAAATCAACTCCACTGAAAAAAAAAAACATTACTTTAATTCTGATAACCTCTTGATACCATTTTAAATTCATTTAAGGTTTTCTTTTTTTTCTTTTCTTTTAAAATATTATCTTACACTAAGAAGACTTAGAAGTTCAATAAAAAGAACATGATTTATCTTACATAAAAACCACTAACGTGTTATTTAACTGAAGTTGTGTAAACAATCATTTTGTTAGGTTTTTAAATAAAAACAAATAAATAATAAAATATGTTAGTTTTTTTGTTAATAACCATAATGTGGACATACCTAGAAACAAGCAAGTAGCAACTGCCTAATGAAATCAGTGAAATTGTTACGTGAAAAACAATCACTGTGGAGCCATACTCTTTAACAGCCTTTTTGAGTTTCTCTTTAGCACTTACAGGGGGCTTCTCATTCGTACTCATGTTTCGTACACCAACAACTATGCTTTGGAAAAGTGAAAATAGTTCATTAAAGCATAATGTAATACTGTTTTCGAAGACGAGCTAGCTTTAATTTCGCCTAATCTAAGTAAGTACCTGTCGTTTGGGTACGTTCACATTTTCTGAACCAGCAATGTAAGGCAAAGGTAGCTGACAGACAACCCTTTGCGACCTTATTTTACGTTTAGTGTTCATATTATGACGCATTGTGACGCACAGATACCATTTATTTGTCTATATTGGCTGTGAATGAGTGATTCACGTGACGCATTCGAGTTTGAAAGATGTAACAGATTTTTTACAATATAAATGAATGTCCCTAGGTTCATTCACCTTGTAACATCTACATGCACCTGTAACAACTTACCATAGACATGCTGTGAGCTACTCTAAACATTTAAAGCAATAGGTATGTATAATTTAAAAACAACATTAAAAATCTTTAATAACAAGGCAATAACTACTTGTTCTTGTCCCTGTTCAATTTAAGCAAATATTAAAACATTTTCATAGACCTCATACATTTCCAAACTTTTACATCAATCAGTCATCTTCAAATTAGTGATATATAATAATAATAATTATATTTAGAGGTTCTATTGCTTAGTTAAGGGGTCGGCAACGCGGCGCCCCCGATCTATTTTTAATGCGCCCTCGCTGGACTAATGTAAATGTATGATAGCCAAAGCGATTTACTTACTCAAACGGCGATATACAGCAAGTAGTCAGTTGAGTTGAGGATTGTGCATAGATTAGCGGTTTGCTAACCTTGAGCGTATCTAATAACACGCACGTATTTTTTGTTGGTGTTTGTGTGATCGTATTTCGAATAGACCACGCGTAGACCGTGCATTTAAAACTACCAAGTAATCCGAAACAATTATTTTCTTTCAATACTGAACAAAGCTTAATGACTCACATTAGAAAGAAATTAGCTGAAAATATGGACACCCAAGTTTCACACTGAATTATATGTATCATTATGTATGACACCAACAAAATAAAGTTATAAAAAATCTGTTTTTTTAATGCCTATTGATACCTGTTGATTATCTGTAAAATATGCGCCCTCAGTGATTTTCAAATTTAGTATTGCGCCCATAAGGACAAACAGGTTGCCGACCCCTGGCTTAGATAAATGTGATGGTAATAAAGCGTATTAAAAAGAAAGCTGTATTCCGTGAAATAGAAAGCACACAAAATATTTTTCAAATTTATTATTTTAGGTCTAGGATCTATTCTAATCTAATTGCAATACAATATGATATCACGGATATTTACAATACACCCTATATCAAGACAAATATTATAATAGTAAGATTGTCAGGCTATATGTTTTGCATTGTTTTATTGCATTTCACGAGTATTTCAGTCAGAATTAGAATTAATGAAACATGATCAAGCAAGATGCAATTAATGTAATAAACATTGGCCTATATGTGAAAAACCTTATGATACATGCAATGTAATATTGTTAGTAAAACAACCTCAGATCTGATAATAATTTTAATTATTTTAACAATGAAAGGTTTATACCGCCCCTTCCACTATTTTATATTATGCATATTGAAAAAATAACTTAGGCTGACTCCCGAACTAAAGTCTCTAACTGAACTAGACGTGTAGTCCAACTCATAACTCTTGTGGTCTTGTGGTTTCTGGAGTCAATGAACATCACAATGTATATTGAAGTCGTCGTGGCCTAAAGGATAAGACGTCTGGTGCATTCGTATCTAGTGATGCAACAGATTTTGAAACCCTCAGGCAGGCACTAACTTTTCTAATGAAATACATTCTTAACAAACTTTCACAATTGACTTCCACAGTGAAGGAATAACATCGTGTAATAAAAATGAAACCCACAAAATTATAATTTACATAATTACTGGTGGTAGGACCTCTTGTGAGTCTACACAGGTAGGTACCACTACACTAGCTGTTTCTACCATGAAGCAATAATGCATTTCGGTTTGAAGGGTGGGGCAACTGTTGTAACCATACTGAGACCTTAGAACTTATATCTCAAGATGGGTGGTGCAGTTACGTTGTAGATGTTTATGGGCTTCAGTAACCACTTAACATGATATGGGCTGTGTGCTCATTGACTATGCTATAAAGATATATCGAGAGGTGAAAGACTATTTGGTTTAAGCAACATTTATTTTTGAAATTAAGGCTTCGTTTTATTTGGTATTTACTAATACCAAATAAAACAACAATTCAGTTTTTAATTAAACTTCAATTAAGTTTACCCCATTCAAATAGTTCAAGCTTTTTTGTTGTGATTTATTGTTGTTTGAAATTTTAAACTTTAAATGGCTCTCCTGTAAAGTTTCAACAATGTTGCTTAGACCTTTCTTGTCCAATGTCCCTTTCTTCCCTCTCTATATAATATATATACATAATAAATAAAATATATATGCATGATTATAATTAACATGTTAATATGCACTTACTTTTATTTATAATTTTTTCTCTGTATTCATTTCTTAGACTCAAATAATGTGCACTGTGAAGATGATCTGATAAGTATTTGTGGCCTTGTCCCCATTGTGAGCCTGGCATGTTGAGATGAGTATGGTTTCCTGTGAAAGGACTTGGAACGTTGCTCTGCATGGACGAAGATAGGCTAACAGCCCCTCGACAATCATATTTGTTAACATATGGGTCAACTTGTATTGTTATATCAATTTTAGACATGTCATGTTGTTTTTTATAGTGAGAATTAATAACAGGACCGGAAATATCTCTTTCTCTGTTCGGAGAAAATCTCCCTACTTCGGATGCGTTAATATCAACAACATTCGTGGGTAATTTCAAAGCTACACTCTGTGATTTCAATAGCGGAGACACGTGTACATTCTGTTTAATGTAAGAACTACCTGTTGAAAAACATAAGTGAAACATCAATAAGTGGTGATTAGTAACTAAAATTTAATTGTTAAGCTTGATACTTACCAATGGCTATTTGATATTTACCCATCGAAATGCAATTCGGCTTTAGATATAATCTGAACATTTTTGTTTGTTTGTTAATTAGAGGTACGCACTACGTACAATGGACACCTCTGTTGTTTTTTTCTAACAAATTTTATGTGTTAAATGAAGACAGTTCTAAGGTTGTTTAATTAATTATACCTTTTGTTATTTTGATATCGGTTTAGCTTTTTTTTTTTAAGAGATTTTATGACCTGGTAACTAAGACCTTTAAGTCATGTCTTATTTTACTTTATATTCTTAATTTTATGAAAAATGATAATATGGAGTGAAATTAAATGAAAATGATTAATTTGAGACATTAATCAACTGAGATGAAATTTAATGAAATGAAATGATATGGGATGAAATATAATCGCAGTAAAATGGTGGTCATTTACTGAGATTTTTTCAGTGGACTTTTTGGAGGAACCCGAGAAGTTACGTCAAGCAGCTTTGTTTCATTTTCCCACATTTGTGCACTTTCACAGATATTAAACAGTTAATAAACTACCATTATTACACATTTAAACCTGAAGAAATACTAAATAGACAAAATAAAACAAATCACACAACTTCACTCCTCGCGTTCCCGCCAAAAAGTCCATAATGACAATAGACATGTGTAAGTAATGCGAGTGATATTACTCGGGTAATATTACTCTACGATGTAATGCAACATCACACATTACGCGAAGGAAACAAACATCACACTATCACCCAATATGTTTCTTTCTTTGTCGTGTAATGTTGCTTAATACACGAACGGAACAGAGCGAGCGAGACAGACCGATCGACGCAAAATAAATGAGCAAGCGACACGGAATTATTCCTAGTGATTTTGAACCGTATGCCCTGGCCGCTAGGTACATTTTTATACCTATGGTACGTCTGAATTTTAATATAGGTATTTGTGTTTATATTTTTCATGCGCCCAGCCGGTAGTTCCCCGCAAGTACTTACTTAATTTTTTATTCGCAACTTTTGTAAAATCGCTAGTCGCTCGTAATTGTTTAGTAATATTTCATATTAATTTTTGTGTTTGAAGATAGTTTTATTATTTGTTTTAATGCGTGTTTAATAAGTGAAAGAAAGACGGGGGCTAAATGAAAGTACAGTCCTCCTTGGATGCACTTTGAGGATATCGCGCCGAAACAATGCATCTACTGCTCTCGTATATTAACATTATTGTCGAGCTCAATTTGCAGTCTAAGTCGCCATATGAAATCCGTTCATCCCACAATAAATTATATTAAGTAAAAAATAAAATTATTATATTATTAAGTAAGTCAATCTCTGTCAAGTAATATAACAGTGTATTACAATGCAAAGTTCATACTTTGTATTGTAATACACTACTGTAATGACACACCCGAATCATTACCTAAGTGATGTGTTGATACACATCACTTAAGTAATGATTCGGGTGTATAGATACAATGCATTCGTCGTCACAGTATCTATTGAACGCACCGAGTAATGTTAAGAGTGATGTGTAATGTTTTCGAGTAATATCACCTGTCTGTAAAAGTGATGTCATATCACATTACATTGGGAAGTGATGTTTTGCGCAAGTCTAGTCCATATCGGTTTAGTTGTTGTCAGGGCTGTCAGATGTAAAAATAAGATAATAGTATACCACCTTTAAAAAAGTAGTACATTTCGTAGTTTTGAATAAAAACAATAGTACACATCAAAAATATTTTTTACTATACATAATTACATATGCTTTTTATACAAATGCAATAAAATTAGCACATTTACCTGCTTCATTTAAAACATGTTGTTTGGCCAGCAAGGTACCATTGATACTTTCATTGGATAAACTATTTCTAAATTTAGTGAAAATTGGGATATCCACTTATACTCTTCAAAATGTCTATTAACATCGCCCCAAACGTTATCAGGGCTTGTTGTCAAATTAATCTTTTTATTTATTGTATTTGGCAGATTTCGCCATTCTTTATCAATTTTTTGCATCTCATTCTCATTGCCTACAATCCGAGGGACCAATATCATCAAAGGCTGTAGGGATGGGATCTTATTTCTGTATGAGTTAGATAGGTACTGCATTTGTGGGCAGTAAGCATTGCAATTTTGATAAAATAGGGTCATTTAAATCATATCGCAAAAAGTCTCCAACCAAATCTTCGATCATCAATAGTAACTAGATAAAGGGACACGTTCAAAATTAAAGCAAAAGCTGTCCGCGTGAATATACACATAAATAGCTACATTCATTTACTAAGAAACGGAGAAAAAAGTTTTGAAACCGTTTTAAGTTCAAACTAATTACAACTATGGCACTTTGTAATAAAGTCACAAATCTCCAAAACATTATCTAATACTTACGATCATTCGTCACATAAAATGAGCAAAGTAATAAATTAATCCTGTCACTTACAAATAAAAAAACATATGTTAAACAACTTTTAATGTTAAATCAACCTTAAAAACAACAAATAAAGTACTTTTTCCTTTTATTGCTCTGAGAACTAACATCGTTTTGTTTTATTTATTTTTGCTTCTTGAAATTTCATTTTCGGCTTACTACAGGAGGTAAGGGAGTCGCGTTGAACACCAAAATAATTTATTCATGAATAAAAGCAAAAGTTTAGTTGTTTACTTTTTATGTTTTAGAAATTTATGTTTGTTAGTATCTATACATTATTTCTTATATTATTAGCGTTACGTTTTTGCGTAATATATATTTTTATAGTATATTTTTAAGTTTTCGCGACCAGTGCAGATAATAAAACAACGTTTAAATGGTTTCAAGCGCGGTATTTTTATTACAATGTTTCGGCCACGTTTCAGTAGCCGTGAGCACGAAAGGCAAAGATGTCCAGTGTCAATGAGCGGAGATCTTAGCTGGCTTATAAAAGTCATCTCTTGTTTCTCTGGCGACAATCGAGATCTATTCTGCACACGTGATTGCTAGTAAAGCTAAAATAAAAAAGGAAAGCTAAGTATCTAATGAGAGTCCAACAAACAGACACAAAAGCAGCATTAACCAATTTTAACCAACTAATTTTGAAGTACTTCTAACAAATTTTAAAAAATTATTAAAACACAAATCTACTCCGTGCGTTTACTGTTCTGTTAAACAAACGTTTGTCCATGTGTTGGCCGAGCCTTGGCCAACATTTGTAGCGGTGGCTAAAAATCGGTAAATTTGTTCAAAATTTAATATTATTTATTAGTTTAAAGTTTAAAATATAGTTTATACTTCATGTACTTACCGAAAGTAAGATACTCCAGCCGTTAAATTGCTTTTTCGGGCATTACTTTTGCAACTTTTGAATACACACTGCGGCATTGTGAGACGGGTTGACATTGGCTGTGTTTGAAGCGAACTAAACAAAATAACAGCTCACATTTCAAGTGAGCTGTTATTTGACGAGACGTATTTTCTGCACCGACCTTGTATCTAGTTACTATTGTTGATCGAAGAACCAAATATAAAATATCATCCTTCCACAGACTACCAAGTGAACATAAGCATTTATGTAGACCATAGACTTAGATGTTGACGAAGCGAGTTCGTTCGTTCTCTAACTGTATGTTGTTAACTATATACTGTTACTGTAAATGTTTCCAAATATAGTATAAACTAGAATTTTTATACATTTAAATAAAAGACAGCTAGGTTTTAAAAAGTAGTATTTTAGCCGTACGACTTTCGTATTGCGATTGTACAAGGAAAAANTTTATATAATAAACAAAGAATTTTTGGATCGGAACCCCAAAAAGTTCCTGCTAAGGACCGCAAAATATTAATACCTTTCAAAGCTCTACTACAAATATAGTCAATGTGTTTGGTGAACTTTAATTTAGTGTCAAAAATTACACCAAGAAACTTTTTTTTGCTATTTTGAGGGATTAAATTATTGTTATACTTAACATTTACATTTGTATCAATACCATAAGCTAAAACTGAACTTTTACTACTATTTATATTTAATTTAAGTATCTCAGTATAATAGTAGTTAAGTTGACATAAAGCTGAATTAACTTTTGCTTGAGCAACCTGAAAATTACTGTCTACACTATATATTAAGATGTCATCAGCAAATTGTAATATTTTTACAGATTCAGTCACGTGTCTATATATTTGTGAAGTATAAAGGTTATACAGGATTGGAGATAAAGAAGACCCTTGCATCAACCCCTTGAAAGCTAATTTTGGACCATGAAAAACATTATTGTATTTAATGTATAAAGAACGACCAAAATACATATTGAAAATCCATTTTAAAAGTTTTCCTGGGAAACCCAAAGAATATAGCACCCTAATTAATTGGTGAAGATCTACATTATCATATGCCCCCTGCACATCAAGGAAAACACAAATTGCAGTAGAACCTGATAACAAACACTTTTTCATATCAGTCAGGTAAGCTATAAAACTTTCTGCTGCACTTTTGCCTTTTCTGAATCCAAACTGACAAGAAGGAATAAGTTTCTGGTTTTCAACAAAATAATCCAATCTAGTCTTAATCATTTGTTCAAACAATTTCCCTACACAAGACGTAAGAGAAATGGGCCTGTACGAATTAAAATCATCATTAGGTTTGTCAGGTTTTAACACTGGTATGACACATTGCAACCTCCAGGATTCTGGAATCAATTGCTGAGACCAAAGCGAATTTAAAATATTAAGTAGAATAAGTTTTACAGAAACGTGCAGATTTTGAAGCATAATATAAGGAATATCGTCAAGACCAGGGGTTGTATTCTTTCTTGAAGACAAAGCCAAGTCAAGTTCTTCAAAATAAAAAGAGTTAAGTAGAAACATGCTCCACTGACTTCCGTCATTAAATTCAAATAAACCAGAAATATTATCATTGTTATTACTAGGCTGCGCTAACTTCTCTAAAAAACTTTCTATCCACTCATCATTTTTGGACAGATTTCTATTAATGTTAATTCTCTTAAATCTTCTAATAAAATTCCACACTCGGGATACTGGAGTGAATCTATTAAAAGATGAACAAAGACTTTTCCAACTGTCTTTCTTAGCCAGTTTGATAATAATTTTTTTCCTAGAATCTATTTTCTTATATTCTATATAATTGTCCATTGTCATATTACGTCTATAATTAGCTAACGCTTCTCTTGATTTAGTTACAGCCTCAGCACAAGTATCATTCCACCAAGGAGCTGGAGGAGCAGACTTTTTACTAGAAGATTTATGTTTTAACAATGGAATACAGTTTTCTTTTAAACTAAGTAGCAATTTAGAAAATTCATCATATTGAACTAAAGGATCAACGGTTGAAGGAGAAAAATTATCAAATATATCTTTGGATTTGTCTTTGTACATATTCCAGTTTGTTTTATTATATAAATATTTATGTATAGACTCTTGAACTGTATATTTTTGAGTTGAGGTAATGATGTTAACAAAAGTAGGTAAATGATAGCTCCCTAAAGAGTCGTCACCGACATACCACTCACAAAGTGGTGCAATATCAGGGCTAACACAAGTAACATCAATGGCTGATGCATTATTACCAGGTCTAGAAATAGTAGTAGGTTCACCTGTATTTAAAATACATAAATCAGCATCATCAAATATATCAAATAATTCACGACCTCTTGAATTGGAAGTATCACAACCGAAAGCTATATTGTGAGCATTAAAATCACCAGAAACAAGACAAGGTTTGGGTAATTGCAAAATAATCTTTCTCAAAGTACTAAAACTAATGGAGCTATTATTTGGTGGACAGTAGACACAGAGCACCGAGACAGGACCACATACTGTTATTATAGAAATAGCTATAAATTGAATATTTTGATAGAAAGTAGTTTTTAAGACCTTAAATTTAATATTATTTTTTATTAAAATACCTACACCACCATGCTCATTTTTTGCATTTTTTCCAACAAAAATATAACCAGGTATATAAAAAGGCAGACCAGAATCTTTTAACCAAGTTTCATTCAGCAAGCACACATCTATTTTATTTTCATACAATAAAGATTTAAGAAGTGGTTTTTTATTATTGACACTCTGTATGTTATGTTGCATTAATCGTAAATAATCCATTATTTTGTTAAGTTTTGAATTAAGATCTCCTTAATGTGAGCAGTTGTGTTTGCTGTATTAGAATTGCCTAACATAACTAAAGTTTTGATAATTTTACTCAAGAACTGATCATCTTTAATGAGCTGATCATAAGAACCAATATTAGAAGGAGCAGACTGGACTGCAGTTGAGCTATGTGAAGAATTTTGTGATAACTTTTGTTTCTTAGGTTGGACAGTAGATGGAGCTAATTTATTGTGAGCTAACTTTACAACTGATTTATCATTAGGNCATCCAGCCGCAAATGGTATGGTCGAAAGATTCCACCGCCAGCTCAAATCGGCAATTATGTGCCACGAGAACGATGAATGGTATGAGGTTCTACCTTGGGTACTTCTCGGAATACGTTCGGCATGGAAGGAAGATGTTGGTTCGTCATCTGCAGAGTTGGTGTATGGAGAGCCCCTACGATTACCGGGTACATTTTTCAACACCTCGCCCACAGAAGTCGTAGACCACAATGATTTTCTTTCCCGTCTAAGAGCCTACATCCGAAAGATCAAACCAACGCCTGTGATACATCATGGTACTTCTCCAGTTTTCATAAGTAAACAGTTATCATCTTCAAATCAAGTTTTTCTCCGCCAAGACGCTATTAGAAAACCTCTGCAGCCGCCATACACAGGACCCTATACGGTACTAGAACGTAGAGATAAATATTACAAGATAGATATCAAAGGAAAGCCTGCCACGGTGTCATTAGACAGATTGAAGCCGGCGTACATCTTAAGCGACTCAGAATCTCACTTTGCTGATACATCTCCAAGCATTTCACGTTCAGTGCAAAGAACGAAATCTGGACGTCAAGTACGCTTTCCCGATTTTTATCGACCGTAACGGTCTCCGGGGGGGCTGATGTAGCGTGCAACACTCGGTCGCACTCGGGCGTCATCGGATGCGATCGGAGTTCCCGAACGCGCAGGTGTCCCGTGACGTCACACGGCGAGATTCGCGCGCGTCGATTTAAGTGGATTTGTAAAAACGTATTATAATTTTAGTTTGAATTGGTGTCATGTAGTGCCTAGTGACTTGTTTACTCTTTATACTTTTTATTAGAACATTGTACACATAATATTATATTATTATATGATTGTTGAATTGGTGTGTTTGACTTTTATGTGTTCGGAGCATAATATTCCCGAGAGTACAAATAACCAACCACACATTCATTCGCAAACCTAGCAGCTGTGCAAATGGGTTCGGTACTCAATTTGCAAACCCGTTTGCGCTTCCTCCCACACTTGTTTACGAATGTCTCACGAATTTCTCTTCGTTTTTAATTCGTCAATAGAACATTGAAGAGAAAAAGAGTTTTGAATTCTTTCCCAGACATCATTAATAACCATGCTGTTTTTATGGGATTTCTTTTGATGAAGATACGCTACACAGTAGACGTCACGAACTATGAAAATGACGATACGTCCGTTACCTTCGCAATCGTCGGCGCAACTGGGCAAGCGAATATGTGGGAGACTACGCGAAGGTTCGAGGTTCGCGCGCTTTGATGTCTGTTAAAAAACCGACACAGCTTGCAAAACCACGGATGCAGCGAAAACTTTGCATAATCATTTGCAAATGTCGTCATACACTTGCGGGTTTGCGTATTCGTGCGCATGTGAGTGACCGGTACAAGATCTTGACTGGGCAATAGACATAAATAATACACTGAATTGAATACTGAGACCCACCATTATCTATGGATACTCTCATACTGTTGAGAAGAACAGTGATATATCCTTAATAGGCCCCGTCAATGTCACACGTTTTCATTAAAAATACCATCAGTATTATGTAGTTGATTTCTTAAAAAAATTTTAGCGGCTAGTTCCTATTCCATTCTCTTTCCATAATTACTAGTCTCAAAAACAAACTAATCAGGTAGCCTTGCTCAAGTCATAAAAAAAACTCAATATGTCAATAGCATTCTATGTCACAACGGGAAAATAAACAAACAGCTGCTCTATGTAGAAACGAGCAATTTTATTTTGAAGATTTCATTTTTAATACTGTTTTGTTTTGTGTATGTAGGTTACAATTATCATGCTGTTATTAGATTAGTTTTAACTGTATACCACTTCTTTATTTGTTTTTATTGAATTCACGTTCGTGTTTTTAATATCGGACGAACTGTTATTTCAGCAAATCCGGCAAGTTAGCTAAAGCGGCATTTGTAAAGGTCAAAAGAGTAAGTAATTATGCAATTATTGTTATCTGTTGCTTGCATACTGAAGCTGATTCTTATTTACTTTTTGGCGTAATCTATGAATAAACGTTAATTTCTAAATTAAATAAGTTCAAATTAGACCTGAACTACTTCGTATCGAATATTTAAAATTTAACGACACTATTCGATTTACATTTAATACAACGTGCTGTGAAGAAATTTTAAAAGCCTATTCATTACAGATGTATAGTTTAATAAAACTTAAACAAGCAACGTTGCCTTTGTTAAGAAGGACAATGTCTTCACAAGAACCTGATGTTTTATTTGAAGCATTAAACAATGCTGGCATAGTAACCCTCAATCGACCCAAAGCATTAAATTCCCTCAACACATCTATGGTGTCAAAATTATTACCACAACTTCAAGAATGGGAGAAATCAAAGTCGCTGGTTATAATTAAGGGTGCTGGAGAAAAAGCTTTCTGTGCTGGTGGTGATGTGAAAGCTGCCATAGACAAAATCGAAGGGCCTAGGTTCTTCCATACGGAATACAATGTTAATTTCTTGATTGGAAACTATAAAATCCCATATATCGCATTTATAAATGGAATCACAATGGGAGGAGGTCTTGGACTCTCAGTCCATGGCAGATACAGAGTAGCAACAGAGAAGACATTAATAGCCATGCCAGAGACTAAGATAGGACTATTCCCAGATGTTGGTGGATCATTCTTTTTACCTCGTTTACAAGTTAATTTGGGATTGTACTTAGGGTTGACTGGTGAGTAAATATATTTTTCATTGACTAATCATAGCAAAGTCTTGAATATTATTATATTATTAATTGCTATTGTTACTAATATTAAAAGATTTTTCTGAACATCCAGAACCTGTAAAAGTAATTTATATTATGTATGCAATGTTACTTTGAAGGTAACTAAACAGTAAAAGCTCTTTATGCACATGTTATATGTTGCATAAAGTTGCGTTAATGAAGGTTCCCAATAGAATTTATACCAAATAGTATCTGTTTAACGTTATACCTAATTATTTGATCAAATAAATACTTTGAAATAAATAATTCTTTGATGTTAATCTTATCACAGCCTACGTCACATTACCATCTCAGATAACATCATAAATGTGTACATAGTGATAAAATAAAAAAAGTGAACAATGACATTGAAAATATGCACACTAATAGCTAGTTGTAGTGCATGTTTTTGTCCTTATTCTTATACACACAGACATGTCAACCGCACAATCCTGACCTCTCACAATGTTAACATTTACATTGCCATGCCAATGTCTATTAATAAAGATCAACTCTACCATTGGTAAAAAATGTCAAAAATGTACATTAATAAGTCTATTAAGAATCCATATACTACAGTACTTCAATTTTGTTCTAGACTTTGCAAACTGAAAGAGGTTAGGTGCAGGGCTTAGCCTAGACTTAGTATATCACTGCCTGTAAGACACATCGTAGTGTTGTATTGTTATTACAAGAATGTTGCTTTGGTTAGAGCCCCATGAGCTAATCCACTCGCTCGATTATGCTGGTATAGCCTCTCAGTAGGTAGGTAAAAAAAACCACAATCATCACTAATAGAACTACTATTTACTGCAGGTGACAGATTGAAAGGTAAAGACGTTGTGAAAGCTGGAATAGCTACACACTTTGTACCAAGCAAACGTCTGTATGAACTCGAAATGCTCCTTTCTCGGTGCGCTAATGATATAGAAGTTAATTCACTACTCAATAAATTCCACGAACCCTCGGAGGACTTCTCACTTGCATCAAATATCAAGCATATAAACTACTGTTTTGCGGCTTCGACTGTTGAAGAGATCATTGAGCGACTGGAGAAAGTTCAAAATGAATGGTCCGTTAAGACTTTAGAGGTATGTTCACAACATAAATTTATATATATTTAGAACAGCAAGTAATTAATGAAAAGAGTCAAATTGTCAAGGATATACCCTATACCAATAATCTATACTAATATATAAATCTACAGTGGTTTTTACGGATGTTCCGTTATAACTACTGAACCGTGCATCTGATTGACTTGAAACTTGGTATCCATGTAGAAAATACATGTACTTAATGGAAAGGCTAAGGATTTATATGAGTGTTGAACTCCCTACACCAGTTGCGGTGGCGTTAATAATGAGAATCTTTGTGGGGGTGAGAAATAATAATGGTAATTTGAAATTCCCAGCGAAGCAGACGGGTACAGCTAATATACTTTATATTGTGGATTATCGTAAAAAATATGAATACCCTATTATTATTGATTTATCCAAATTTCAGACTCTTCATCAAATGTGTCCTGGCTCTCTCAAGATTACACTGCGAGCCCTCCAACGAGGCGCTCAGCTGGACCTGGGCCAGTGTCTACAGATGGAGTACAGACTGGCCTGCCGAGCCACTGAGAACCATGATTTCCCTGAAGGTAACAATATTAATTATATATATTTTACAGCTCATGACCCCAGAATAAGTCTGTAAAATTAATAAAACAAATTCAAAATGAAACTGTGAAAATGTTTTTAATCGTGATTAATTAAATTTATGAACCACGAAATGCTCACTTCAAGATGACCTGAGCGTTATTGTATCTGCATGATATCGGACAGGAGTTCACCGTACCCACGTCACAGTGTGTCTCAAGGAACCTGCTTTACTCCAACAGGTGTGAGAGCTCTGCTCATCGACAAGGACAACAAGCCCCAGTGGAACCCCAAGTCTCTGGCCGAAGCTGATGATGAATATGTCGAGAGTTATTTCAAGAGGCTGCCCAAAGACAAAGAACTCAAATTCTTCGACTCCAAACTCTAATCCTTTCCATTTATGTACGCGGTGCAACCAATCTTAGTTCACACAGTGTTTCGTCTCTTTCGTTCGCATCTCAAGTCATTTTGTTTCATACATAGAAAGAGACAAAACACAGTGTAACCTAGCATAGTTACATCGGGTCTACTAATAGTCTGGTAAGAATAGATATTAAAATGGTAAGCTGTACAAGTTATTTTTGAAGATTTTTCATCGTTTTTTGTGAATTGAATTTCAATCGTTAAATGTATATGAATATTAATATTTGAAATATATGAATATGAATATTTGAAGACATGAGTGGACGAAGGAGATATGATACAATATGTTAATTTGGAGAAAACGGGCAACAAACTTTTGTTACTTGTATTTTTTCTTCACGCATGACTTCTTCATAACCTGCAATTTCTAAAAATAGCCTTTAAACCTGGAGTTCTAAGGTCTAATAGCCACATAATAACTTCATTCAATGTAAAAAATCAAAAATCTTAAAAATGGTACTTAACCCCTTCATCCGCTCATGTCTTCATTTACAAATGCATATTGAGGTACTTAAAACTTCTGTAGCGTTAGAAGGTTAGGGTTGTTGAACTGTTCTTGTCGTGCGACGCAACCTGGGTCGTGCTCTGGGAACATCTCGCCATCTCCCTCGCTCACTCGCAACTATGACTCCGGTGTGCTCAGTGCGAGTTTTTTAACGTTCTCGATGCCGTAAAAGTTAACTCATACCTATATGTATTCGTAGTGTGAGTTTTTTAACGTACTCGATAACGTAAAAGTTAACTAAAATTTCGCGGTACTCCAGTTATTATTGTTTTAATACTTTATTTATTTGGTAGCTACATTTTATTGAGGAACGCAAAAATAATATCGATGTATCGATAACGTTAAAAATGTAACTTTAACACAATTAAATAGGTACATGCTTGGTTTCAAAACGCACACTGATAAAGAAATGCTTTGGTCAATGCAAAAACAAGTCTCAAATTGACTATTAATAGATAACGTCTATTAAAGAGTACTCGTGCTAGGACCTCTTGTGTGACCGCACGGGTAGGTACTACCACCCTGCCTATTTCAGCAGTGAACTAGTAATGCGTTTTGGTTCAAAGGGTGGGGTAGCCGTTGTACTTTAAAAACTAAAACATTACAACTCATATCTTAAGGTGGATTGCGGCATTTACCTTGTAGATGTCCACGGGCTCCGGCAACGTTAATCTAAGAATCAAAAAAAGTTATCTTGATTTCAATATTAATATTATATTGCCAAACTTTGGGACGCAAAATATTATACTGAGCGTACATCATTCCACGAGAAAGTATACGTGATTCTGGTTTTTGACACAGCGCGTAATGTAGTGTAAACAATTTTTTTTCAGCTGACGCACAAGACTATTATTCTAGTGTAATCCGTCCGTGGTTAGGGAAGACAGCGACACTTGCCCCTGCAGAATCTACCCCCACTACCACCAGTGAAAACCTTGTTAGCCCTGTGTGCTTAGTGCGAGTTTTTTAACGTTCTCGATAGCGTAAAAGTTAACTCATATTTGTATGGAATGGGATCGTTTGCCTAAGTTTGCCGCTAGGGGCGCTGTTCCAACTGCATACAAATTTGAGTTAACTTTTACGCTATCGAGAACGTTAAAAAACTCGCACTAAGCACACTGGAGTAGTTTCTAACCTCCGATTCATTGTCCAGGCGAAACAGCGTTTCCAGCTGGCTTCAGCGATGTTCCTCATTTACAATCATATTGTCCTCACAAACATATTCCTATAAAAAGCGGTGTTTTAAATTATACGTCAATTTATAAATTTCGTTTGTCTGTTGATCTGTGGACTCATCTTGGTATACCAATATCGTGTGCGTTTCGGTCAGGTAAACACGTTCTGAATTTAAAATCTATGGGCTCTGGCCCGGTGTAATTCTAGTTATAAAAAAAAAAAGAATTTGTTTGAAAAAAAAAAGACTTATTCGCATTTAATTATGGTCATAGACCATTAGTGCAATTTATACAAGAAACATATTATAGCTATTTACCATTTCATGTGCCTTTCAATTTATTTAGGCTCTAATCTAGTTGTAGCTTATAAATTGGTGCCACGAATTGAGAAAACTATTTTGAAACATTTGAATTGTAGTAATTAATTATTACAAAGCGACGTAATATTTAATTTTATGAAATTTTGTTAATTGAGGATAATTTGTCAAATCCGACTAATATTTATATAGGCTTTATTAGTTTCAATGGAATAACTGAAGAACAAACTATGTGAATCGAAATTTTGTTATGAATTTATAATACGTTGCTTTGTAATATTAAAACTTTATAAAAATAAGTAAATGTGTTTTGTATTTTTATAATGTTTTTCATAATATTAAATAATGTGTACTGGTGTATTTTTGTTTATTGATGAAGACAAGTTTATGAAATAAATGTACGAATTAATGTATTTTTTTTTGTACTATCATAAATAACAAGGTTATGACTGTTGGTTTTGTAGCTACGGATAGTGAGAAGGGGTTCCGGGCCAACTATTAGGTGTTAAGAGCGCTCAGAAACCATTTCTTGAATATGACGACTTGCCCTTAAACCTTAATCCTAAGTTTCAATTGTACAATAAAGGTATTTTAACCCTTCAATTCCCCATAAATGCTACGCGGCTGGCATGACTACTTTGGCGACTTTCAACCGGCTCTTAATTACGCAAGTTTATATTAACACACAGGTTGACCTGTAGGTACCTCTCTGTGATCTCTCTGTGTGACGGAATCTTTCAACGAATTTTCAATTGTATTGTGTAACGGTCGTCTCGCCCGTCTGAAATACACAGATTCGCGACAACTACAGGCAGGACGATGACCCCACTCCAGTGTTACGGTAGCTACGCTTTACCAGCTATAATAACCATTTGCGTAGGTACAATACAGATTCTTGCTGCTATTTAGTATAAAAACTATTAAAATAATAATAATAATATAAAATTTATTTATTACATGACGTTATTCATGTTTGCTGTTATATTATGATATCCCTTACATAATGCTCTCTAAAAAGTTATCACGTATCTATGGTATTGTCTATTACCTTCTCGCGCCTTTTAATTTTGGAACGCGCACCTCTCGTGTCGTGTTATGCTTAACTTATAATTTGCGGTTAATATTATTTCTCTTCAACAAATTCGTGGTACAAATCAACGTCGAATGAGTCGCTCATGAAACATGTTAACGTATTTTCATAGAAAAATTGGAATCTGCATTCGGTATTTGAACCCCGCCACAATCACATCATTGTACACGGATACAATTCATACAATGGCTATTTTATGCTGAAACCCGATTTAAACTTCACTGAATACTGTAGCCATAGATCCTGAGCGTTTTATGGATTAAACAGCACGTGTCGCTTAAGTGTGACTTTTTTTTATTTTTTTATTGCTTATATGGTTGGACGAGCTCACAGCCCACCTGGTGTTAAGTGGTTACGGGAGCCCATAGACATCTACAACGTAGACGCGCCACCCACCTTGAGATACAAGTTCTAAAGTCTCAGTATAGTTACAACGGCTGCCCCACCCTTCAAACCGAAACGCATTACTGCTTCACGGCAGAAATAGATAGGGCGGTGGTACCTACCCGCGCGGACTCGCAAGTGGTCCTACTATCTTGTTTCTTACTAATAATCCCGCCAGGTTCGAGCCCCGTGAGCTTACCTACTAAATAAGGTTACGCTGAAATAGCCTCTCAAGGCTATCAGCTTAAGTAGGAAAAAAAACAAACAATCTAATTGTTTTTTTTTCTGGGATTTAACCATCATAACATGCATTCTATTGGAATTAATACGTAATTAGAAAGGTTAAAAAATGAATAGCGTTCGGTGTAATACGACCGAACATTTAGCAAACAATAACGCGAACTGCGCGTTTTTTTAATTTTTAAAACTTAAAACTGCACTCGAACAGGAATAACAGTCGTTCAACAACCTGTTTCCGTGGTCGGTCGGGTGCAGTCCTCGCGATCATAACATTTAACATTTTAATATTTATAACATTGAACGTTTGTACGGATTGTGTGCATTTTCTTTTTTTTATTACTTAGATGGGTGGACGAGCTCACAGCCCACCTGGTGTTAAGTGGTTACTGGAGCCCATAGACATATATAACGTAAATGCGCCACCCACCTTGAGATATAAGTTCTAAGGTCTCAAGTATAGTTACAACGGCTGCCCCACCCTTCAAGCCGAAACGCATTACTGCTTCACGGCAGAAATATAGTCATTATAGTCAGTTGATAGAACTCAGACTTATTATCAATAAACATCCATAGCACCCTCGCTCTGTGCTCGCACAAATAAATTGTCAAAAAAATGAAACAGCGACAAATCGATACTCCCCTTCTGGCTGGGCCTTTCCTCGCCCACCTGTCCTGGTGAAACTGGAATGGCCTCCAGGCCCCCAGTAATCCTTCGATTATAAAAAAAATAATACATACTTTGCCGAAAAAGATGCGAGTGACCAAGTGTCCGAGTATCTATCTGGACATGAGACTGAACCACGCACTTCACTGTGCCAATGACCGACATAAATGGCTACAAATTACTTTACGTTTAGCTGTTGTGTTCAAATTGCTCTACTTACATGTAATAATAGGATTTCTGAATAATTTTGAGGGCAACATATTGGATGTTATTTATTGAGTTTTTAAATTAATTAAAGTTCACTAAACTTATTGCTAGCTAGGTACAAACACAAGCAAGTGAACATTACGATGACGACAGTTATATCAGCTATATATCAGGGGTAAGTATAAACGACCCTAATTCCCTCTAGCTGCTGATTATAAATTTTCTCATCTGATCCGTAGGATTACTCTCGATTATAATCTCATTTGCATATTCTTTTGGGCCCACGCCTCTGATTTCCCCTTCCTTACTGATGCCAGGGCATATTTGAAGGCCGCAGCAATAGGAACCACAGCCTATTTCGCCCACGGAGCACGTCAAATAAATTTTGGATGTTATAACTCTGAATAAAACAGACGCATGATGGAAATCGATATTATCATTAATCTAAACAGAATCCTATAATCCCGTAGGATCCTGTGTTTTTCTATTTCGTTTGTACATAAAAATAGATAGGCTATAGGTAATAAACTATTTGTCGTCTTGATAAGTTTCCAATTTTCCATTATTTATTATTTTTAACATTTTCACAATATATCTATAAACAATATGTCATTTTAATGTCTGCAGTTTTTCTTTCTTCTTCTGCAGTTGAACAACTAGTTTGTTGTTTAATAGATCACGGAAAATACAGTGTACGACGCTTTTACAATCTGAAAATAATGATATGGCTATCAAACTGGCTACTCTTATAGCTTATTAAAAACTTTTTTGTGTGGACCGGTGACTGAACCTCCTACGAGATTCCCGCGCATAGGGATTAAACAAAAAAATTATGTCTTAAGCAAGAATAAAAAAAACTCACACAAGTCCTTAGTATATAAGGGATATTTCCAAGTTTTTTGTAAAAACAAGTTTAGAGTTAGCATTTACGAGTATAAATGTTAAACGTAATTTAAAAAAAAATATCGTTTCAAGGGTAGGTAATGATTAAAGATAAAACCTCACCGATAAATACGATTGATATGATAAATCTATTACTCCGAGTCCTCTTAATACAAGCGGCCGCTAAAAAATAAAAACTAAATTAATTTAAAACAGAAATAGATAGAATAAAAATAAAGTGGTTATGATTATTTTTAAATACACACTATAGATTTAACACATTCAACATAGCATACGCAAGGTTAATTTTACTTTGGTTTTTAAACGTATTTTTTAAAGTATATCTGTTTTCTCGAAAGAGTGTTGAAAAATTAATTACAGGCCTTCGTAGTGATCAAAGTATTGTGTAGGTAATGTAATCTTTAAAAAATCCTTGATTACCGGAAGTGCTTGTGTTAAGTAAGTTTTCGGTAGGCAGCGGCTTGGCTCTGCCCCTGGCATTGCTGAAGTCCATGGGCGACGGTAACCACTCACCATCAGGTGGGCCGTATGCCCGTCTGCCTACAAAAGCAATAAAAAAAAATACGTTGAGCCACTCCGATGATGTGACGAAGTGACGATTTTTTTAAATATAATCATTGTTTTTTAACACGCTTCTATCGGTTTGGTATGTATACGTCATGTAAGTTTGTTTGTATTTATCTGAATCTTTGAACGTCATTTCTCAGACTTTAAGACTAACATAAAAAAATTTGCACAGGCGTTGAGGACCGATAACAATACAATATATAATTCTATAACTTCGCTCTAATATCCTGATCAGTATCAACAGAGTGAATAAAAAATGGCATCAATTGTCAGTACTTTTTTGGCCTTGACAGGCCATTTCAGCGTACCCTAACAAGTAGGTGAGCTCACGGGGGTCAAACCTGACGACGTTGCTAACACTAGCCCTAGCAAGATCAGTGCTTCGCAGAATCTACCGCCGGATCGGAAACGAGACCCACTGAGAAGGTCCGGCGAGAAACTCAGTGGCCTGTGTCTGTGGGTTAATTTACTCGCCGAGCCCTTCGTTGCAAGCGACGGGTTCGACGAGTAATCGTTCGGTATGCCATATAAGCGTGTTTCTCTTTAGGGTTGAAAAATCCTACAAACTATATTATGTAATTGTTTTAATCATTCTTTCTTTTTTGTCTGTAACGTCACCCGTTAATCGATTTTCTCTTCATATGTCTATATGCCTATATGCATATATGCCTTCATATGCCTATGTACCTGAGCGACGGCTATTGTGTTCATCACCATATTCCTTATGCTGACTGATGATTTCCCGCGACAGTTCTGCCACCCGGAGCAGTACATTGCTGTCGCTAAACGAGATGCCTAAAAATTTACATTAAAACCCAATTACACCAATGAACCATTTGAAAATACAAAAGAACAAATCTATGAATCACTATTTTTACCGTTTTTTAGTGACTTAAAAAAGTAGTTATTGAGTGCACTGCTATTTAGCGTTAAAGCAACCCCTTGGGAACAAGAGGTCAAAATCTCAATTATAATTGAATTACTGCTCTCTTAGTATAATAAAACGAGAATGGATGGAGAAAAATGACATAAAATCACTTCTCAAAAGGGAGCTGTAATGCTTTAAGCACGGCATAAATCCAACAGTACTATTAAAATCTGTTCAAATAAGTGTTCACCAAAAGCACACCGAGTGTAAGGGAACTATAATCCAAAACGAAGACAGTACTTAGCGTGGTTGATTTTCGAACTAAAAATGTTATCAAACGTTGGAACATTGTATACAATTGTTTTTTGCACTATACGCAATGTAAGGCAATTTAAGTCAGCTGATGCGCGGTGTTATCACCCCACGATACGCGCTATAGCAGTGTTTCCCAACCTTTTTTGTGCCATGCCCCACTGTAACATTTCTAAAGTTTTTATGCCCCCCGTACATAATTTTGAACATTAAAATAATGATTTGCTCAATTAAGAAACATAAATGATAGGTTTTACGAAGAAATCACTGTAAAATTATTATCAAAACACGGTAAGTAATATTTCAAAATATATATTAGAAAATTGAAAAATACATATTAATTTAGTGCGATTGCCCCTCTTAATTATAAAATTGCCCCCTTGTGGGGCGTGGGCCCCACGTTGGGAAACGCCATGCTATAGCGTTTTCCAACTACATTCATTGCTGCTTGACGAAATACAAACTCACTAAAGACACAAGGTTTAATTATTATTATTTTTATTGCCCTTATAGGCAGACGAGCATACGGCCCACTTGATGGTGAGTGGCTACCGTCACTCATGGACTTCGGCAATGCCAGGGGCAGAGCCAAGCCGCTGCCTATCATTACATGCTTACTTCAGGAAATGAATATCGTTTCCAGCTGATACATCACATTATTTTATATTTCAAGAATAAGTACCGTAGGTAAAATCTGTCTACTGACCTGAACTGTGACGTCACCAGCATTCCACATGAAGAAACCGGTGCTGATAAGAATAGCTGATGCGGTTAGTACAGTACCAAAAGTGTTTACGAGCGTTCGGTCTGAATTCTGTTCAAAATTTATAAGAATCGTTAAAACCGTGGAAAGGCGCCCTTATCATGAGTAAATCGAATGCCATTGTCAATTTATTGTGTAAATAAAACTTAAAATTAATTAAGTTATTTATAATTACAAAACATTCTGGTTGATTCGCGTGTGTGTATCAAAACTACATTGTTCCATTTTACTTATCTTCTGATTTCTCATAGATTGGAATAGATGCGTTGACCGGTTTTTATTTTACTCATAAAATTGAAAAAATACATATAACGCAACGACAAAGGGAATATCTTCCCGAAAATCACTCGATAGAATGGAGGCGTCTAAAATTAATGAATCTGATGGATCCGTAAGGACGTGTCTAGGGCGTCAACGGTGACTGGTTCCTTCATGATCAGGATTTAGGGAGTAGTCAGCGGCGGCAACGTTAAGACGATTATAATGACAACCTTAATTTTATTGCATCTTATGTAAGCTTATCTTGAAAAGGACGTTAACGAGATTCAGGCGTCTTCCTAATATATTGTGTTCTATGATTATTACCGCTAAAATATTTATTATTGTAGCGCTACAATATTTATTAAAAATTAATGAAAATATATTAAAAATTCTTCAAAAATACGTAAGTAAATTTAAATAATATTGGAACAAAGGGCGCGTTATAGTGAATAATAGCGTTAAAACTCTATGGGCCACGATAACGACGTATCACCCGGCAAACGAAACATTGTAAGCCCACTATGGTAAAACAATTAAACATGTTTGTATCACTACACTTTCTTACTGATCGAAAATATGTCTTTACACACTATTCGTAGTTTACACACAAATTGACATTTAACTACTTTATCTGAGTCTGTCATTTCATAAATCAACTAACTTACCATACTAATCAACTAACTTAGTCTTGTAACTGATGGGATTACATTTATTTGACGAAATACATGACATGCTCTAAGACATGACATTTCTCTTTAACTTCCTTCCTGTGCGTGTAAATATGCAATCAAACAAGAATATAGGAAATACCAACCATCATCTGAGCCATAATTATGACAATTAGACTGATGTTAAATATAATTTGACCACTCATAACGCCGTTCCAAACCATATGACATCTCCTTGTACATCTAAAAGCAATGCCATAAAAAATCATTCAAAGAAAATTGTCAGAAGAAAGATTTTTCTACTTATTCGTTGGTAGCTCAAGTGGTACGCTATGGCTAGTTCACGGTGCTCAACCTGAGAGAATGTGCTAACACTAGCCCTTGCAAGAGCATTTCTTCGTGAATTTACCACCGGATCGGAATCGCGACTCACTGAGAAGGTCCGGCTAAAAACTCAGTGGTTTTTATTATGTTTGAGAAGTTACTGGTGGCCCGGAGGCCTTTCCAGTTTTACCAGGGCAGGTGGGCAAGCAAAGACTCAGCGACCAGGGGTAGGTTTTGCTTACAGCTCGGTGGGTTGTGTCAAAAGGAGTAAGATATAGAAACGGAAGGTCAACAAGGAATAGAAAGTCAATAAAAATTCTAATTTTAATCTAAGAGAAGACCAAATGAAAAGTTCATGTTCATCATGTTGGTATCGTCGTGGCCTAACGGATAAGACGTCCGGTGCATTCGTGTTGAGCGCGATGCACCGGTGTTCGAATCTCAGGCGGGTACCATTTTTTCTAATGAAATACGTACTCAACAAATGTTAACGATTGACTTCCACGGTGAAGGAATAACATCGTGTAATAAAAATCAAAACCCGCAAAATTATAATTTGCGTAATCACTGGTGGTAGGACCTCTTGGGAGTCCGCACGGGTAGGTACCACCACCCCGCCTATTTCCACCGTGAAGCAGTAATGCGTTTCGGTTCGAAGGGTGGGGTAGCCGTTGTAACTATACTGAGATCTTAGAACTTATATCTCGAGGTGGGTGGCGCATTTAAGTTGTAGATGTCTATGGGCTCCAGTAACCACTTAACACCAGGTGGGCTGTGAGCTCGTCCATCCATCTAAGCAATAAAAGAAAAACATGTCAAAGTTCATTGGAGGAAGAACTAGACCTAAAAAAATGGATGAATTGCGTGAAAGACGATAATATGTGTAAGAGGGGGAGTGAGCTAAGAAACGGTATAGAGCCTCTAATTGGTCGCGGCGTGCGGTCAGGCGCGGCCGGCGTTTGGGTTGTTAAATGTTATAATAGTTTATTTTCCTCCAGCGTGTTTGCCATTGCAATTTTACACGCGTGAGGAAATTTCCAACTTTTCTCCCTTGGTGCACATACTATTTTTTCTCCTACCAGGCCGAAAGTTCGTGAAATACCGAGCCCGGGTCCAGGGGCGAAGCCCTGGCCGAGGGTTAGGGGGCGGTGCCTCCCCGTACTCATAAAAAAACAATTTAACTGTTTTTTAATTTTTAAATAAACTACTACTAATTGAATAAGAACTGTCTAATAAACTCATCTTTGTTTAATACTTCACTATTAAATTTTATTGCCTTTTGTTTATTTCACTTTTACACTAAACACAATATTGCAAATTGCCCGAGCACAACAATGGCGGAGAATTTTAGGTGCGTGAGAGCAGACGTAGACACTAACGCGCATGCGCACTTGTACACAGGGAGAAAAAGTTACACTTTCTTCCCTATGCAGCGGGAGGAAAACCGAACTTTCGGCGTAGGTAGGAGAAAAATGTATGATACCCACTTAAGTTAAATAAATCTTACAATTTACCTCAACGTATTTGCATGAAGCATAACCCCTATTTTGTATTCCGCTTCGTATTTCGCTTCCTTTTCGTTCTGACTGAGATTTTCTTTAAAAATATCCTCGAGATTATGAAAATAGCTTTGTAAGTTCATGTACTGGTGACTCAAGCAAGTTGTCAAGTTAATCACCAATACATAAACTGCGAACGGCCGTGTCACAAATAACCACCAGAAAATGTGGAAACCTATTCTGCCGATGCTAGCTTCAGTTGAAGTGTCTTCCACATCTGGCCACGCCGTTATTATAACGTTGAATGTTACACCTAGAAATGAGTTCTTATTTAAGGCTACGGCGGCTTTATTCATTTCATTGCTTTTTTTATATTTTAATGGGCAATAGATTTACGGGCAAAATGTGATACCGGAGCTCATCATCAAGTGAACAACATCACACACCCTGAGAAGTAAGTTTCAAATTTTGACTGTATGGGATTGCCAGTCACACTAACTACGGGACTACCGTATCGTAATGTGAATGCTTTTTCGATGTATATTTTTTTTCCTTTAAAAAAGAAAAATAGAAATTTATTTTTTTATGCTCTAGATCAGTCTTTCTCAAAGTGGGCGATAACGCCCCCTTGGGGGCGTTTGAAACCTAGAGGGGGGCGTTAAGGGGCCCAGGAAAAATTGGGGGACGTTGATTGGGGTTAGGGGGGCGATGTATAATTTGTAATTTCATTTACTTTATATAGTATTTTAAATTTTTACTTCTACTTTTTCTTTTAAATAGTACACAATAACGAATAATCTATACTAATATTATAAAGAGAAAAGATTTGTTTGTTTGTTTGTATTGAATAGGCTCCGAAACTACTGAACCGATTTAAAAAATTCTTTCACTGTTTGGAAGCTACACTTATCCCGAGTGACATAGGCTATATTCTTTTTTTGACGTGAAACATCTATAGCCGCACGTAAATCCGATTTCTGGCGTGGCGATGCATACCGCGGCGACGCGTCGCCATGCGCAATCGACTGTGCGATTCTCTCCCACTCGATCCGGCGTTAAGCCATCTCTCTCGCTACACTGAGCTCGGATACCTATAGTGTATACTCCGTAGTGTTTAGTGTTGCTTACTACAGTACACATAACCTGTGTTTTATTTGAAAACAAATTATTTTTTCGTAATATTTTATTTTATCATTATGACATATTTAGTTCCTATCACAATTTGTTCTTTTTTCACATCTGCCAGGCGTCCCGTGACGGCTCACAATTTTTTATTATAGTGATCCTTACTAAAACTCCAATAATGTAACGCAAGCTGTAAAAAAATTACCTAAATATTCTTTACATCGCGTGCGCTGCGAAAACTTGACGATAGAATAAAGTATTCTGTACATATAAATAAAATTAGAGTGTATGTTTGAAATATTGAAATAACCGCTTTCTACTACATGCATATGAATATATATACGGTACAGACACCGAAATAACATTTTTTTAAATTGTTGTCTATCTGTCTGTCTTCGCTCGATATCGCCAATGCATTTAACACCCTGCCTTGGTCCGTGATGGGGGGGCGCTGGAACGACATGGAGTGCCCCCCTACCTTCGCCGGCTGGTGGGTTCCTACTTGGAGGACAGATCAGTCACGTGTACCGGACATGGTGGGATCCTGCACCGGTTCCCAGTCGTGCGCGGTGTTCCACAGGGGTCGGTGCTCGGCCCCCTTTTGTGGAATATCGGGTACGACTGGGTGCTGAGGGGTGCCCTCCTCCCGGGCCTGAGCGTAATCTGTTACGCAGACAACACGTTGGTAGTGGCCTGGGGGGGAGTTTTGCTGAGTCTGCCCGTCTTGCTACCGCCGGGGTGCATGTCGTCGGCAAAATCAGAAGATTGGGCCTCGACGTAGCACTCAGTAAATCCGAGGCCATGTGGTTCCACAGGCCCCGGAAAGTGCCACCTGTCGATGCCCATATCGTGGTTGGAGGCGTCCGTATCGGGGTCAGGGTGCAGTTGAAGTACCTCGGCCTCATTCTGGACAGTCGTTGGACCTTCCGTGCTTACTTTCAGAACCTGATCCCTTGTTGGGGGTGGCCGGCGCGTTAAGCCGGCTTCTGCCTAACGTCGGGGGGCCTGACCAGGTGACGCGCCGTCTATACGGGGGTGGTTCGATCGATGGCCCTATACGAGGCGCCCGTGTGGGGCCAATCCCTGGCCGTGGGGGTGGCAAAGCTGCTGCAACGGCCGCAACACACCATCGCGGTCAGGGTCATCCGTGGTTATCGCACCATCTTCTTTGAGGCGGGACCATCTTGTGTATTGGCTGGGACGCCGCCTCGGATCTTGGAAGCGGAGGCGCTCGCCGCTGACTATCAGTAGCGGGCTGACCTTCGTGCCCGGGGCGTGGCGCGTCCCAGTCCCAGTGCGGTGAGAGCGTGGAGGGCCCAATCTCGGCGGTCCGTCCTAGAGTCATAGTCCAGACGCCTCACTTTCCGGCTCACGTAGGAGCTCACTGGTTGTTTCGGTGAGTTCCTGCACCGGATCACAGCCGAGCCGACGGCAAAGTGCCACCATTGTGGTTGCCGACTTGGACACGGCAGAGTATACGCTCGTCGCATGCCCCGCGTGGCAGGGGTGGCGCCGTGTCCTCGTCGCAAAAATAGGAAACGACTTGTCGTTGCCGAGTGTTGGGGCATCGATGCTCGGCGACGAGTCGTGGAAGGCGATGCTCGACTTCTGCGAGTGCACCATCTCGCAGAAGGAGGCGGCGGGGCGCGTGAGAGACGTACAATCTCGCCGCCGTCGAGCGGGCGCCAGGGAGGCGGATCTCGCCCAAGCCCTGGCCCTTTAAGTGTTTCGGGTCCCCTTCCAATGTCGGTTTGGGGACCGGCGAGGGGGGCCTAAGAAGACGACGTGCAAGCTGCTCTGCACGCGTTTTACGCAAGAGTATCCGGGTGATGGAAGGCCGGCTACCCTCGACCCACGCTGGTTCTGGTCCAGCGGGGTATTCCGTAGGATAGCTCACTCTAACCGGCGCCATCTAGGCGGGCTTCGGATAGCCTGCCGACCGAGAGGGCTGGTGGTCGTGGCGCCGACGACCGCCGGTCCGGCGTCCCGAGGGGGAGGGCGATAGGAGAGATGTGCTCCGCACTAAACGCTTCACTTTCCCCCATTTGCCTTTTCATGAGTTCTGTCTCATGCGAGGTTTGGACGTTGGTTGTTGAGCGACAGGAGGTTTTAGTCAGTTCGACTCTGATATGCCCCGCCCTCCATCCCCAGTGGAGGGCGAAAGTCCGGCGATTTCTTGCTGACCAAAAAAAAAATCTGTCTGTCTGTCAATAGTAGAGTGAAATAGCAATGTATTTTGGTAATTCTGAATTTAAACAAACCTATTGACGAGATGAATTCATTTTTATTTTGCAAATTTGTAAATACACACTCTGTAGCAATAATAAATAATAATAAATAATAAATATTTACTAACAATCACGCCACGTTAACTGGTCCCGTGATAAGATCATAAAGAACTTGTGTTGCAGGTACCAGATAACGGAAATAAATGTAAGATTTTTTACTATACACATACATATATGTAATATACATCCATAACCCTGGAAAAGACGATATTTATCATACAAATATCTTCTCTTGGCGGGATTCGAACCCGCGACCCCCTTGTGTAGTGACCATGTCACTTACCACTACACCAGACGACCAGCAATGTTCATATATTATTATGATGAAGAAACAATAATAGCACATACAAATACATATATAATGTACTATGCGGTACTACATTTACTAAAATTTATAGAACATTTATTAATTAAATTAATTAAATTGTGGTTTTAAAGTTTTAGGGGTGTATAAAAATGGGGGGCGCTGAAAAATAATTGACTAACAAAGGGGGCGGTAAAAGAAATAAGTTTGATAATCACTGCTCTAGATGAACGGTTCGCAAACCTATTTTGTATAGTGCCCACTTTGAAAATAAATTATTTTTTGGCGCCCCCAATTTTTCACCTACTTAAAAACCACTATAGCGAGAGCTCAGTCGGTGTCTAAGAGTCGGTGTCTTCTAGATGAAATTACAAATCGCCTCCCAAGCTTCTACACAACGCCCCCATATTTTTTCTGGGTCTCTTACTTAAATGGGGGCATTTAGACCTGTAGCGCCCACAAGGGGGCGTTGTATCCCATTTTGAGAAAGGCTGCTCTAGATAGTCATAGTAGCATAACCGTGGTATAAAACTCATTGGCATTGGATAACGACCGCCCTAATCTATACACTGAAATGCATGATTACTTTGCAGCACTAACAAACAAAAAAAAATAATTGCAATTCATTTACATCAATTGCTATATTCAATAGAAATCGCGCTTACCTTTTTTATAAACCATCAGCAACGCGTCAAAAGTATACGTGAGCATCGACAGAACGCAATTTGTAATCAAAGACACGGAATACGTCATTGAAATCTTTATCATTGCCTCCTCAATGACAGGGTCATTGTATTGTACCTTCAAATTCACGATTAAGTCCAACAAAACCTTTCTTACATTCTCAACTTGTCTGGAAACAATTACGCCATAGCCGTTAAGGATCGGGTGGGATATACTGTACAGAAGCAAATCAAAATTTTGCTTATTCGTCAAATGGTGCTGTGTAAAGTGCGCGGCAATTTCTATACCAAGAAAAAAGTATGTTGCCACATTGAAAATGCGCACTATTTTATCGTAAACTCGAATGAAACTCTTCGGTAGGTTCAGTTCTTCGATCCAAAAATTTGGTAGGCCACAAATATAAGCGATGTGAGCGATTTTTCTGAATAATTCTTTAGTCTTACTGTTTGGATATTTACTGGCTTGGATCATGATGCACGTTATACCTACAAATATACTCTAATATAACTGATTCGTGTAATGTTATTGTAAGGCCAGTCTTTGGAATTAATAGGTCGCAAAGATAGAATTTAATAACCAAAATTGTCGAGAGTTTTAATTACATAACCAATTTCGTAACTAACAACCAGTATTCAAGTGCAAATAAATGTTATTAAAAGTAATTGGAATGAAGAGATTGCTAATAAATTCATGTCAAACCTTGATTGTGAATTACAAATGGCTAACTGATTAAATTAATTTCGAAACTGTTAATTAATAGGCAGTAGATTTCAACTTATCAGTTCAGCCGCTACCAGGAGTGAAATAAAGCTTTGTTAGAAGAAATATGTACTTATTTTGCGACTAATGAAACTCAAATCATTTCTCATTTCATACCTACACTAGACTAGCGGATTAAGTTCACTCGTTTCCCACATCATTGTAATCACACACAAAAGAGCTGTCAATAGTGAACACACGTTAATATCCTCCATGTTACATAATAGCGAAGACTTAATCGGAAAATTACTTGAACAGCTGATGGTGACAGGAAAGGTAGATGGCAAACGTCCCAGAGGACGCAGTCCCACGAGATGGTCGGACCAAGTACGATCTTCTCTGAGCATCAATTTCCATAATGCCCTTCATGAAGCAAAGGATCGCGGCAGATGGAGGGAAGTCGTATGGGAGAAACTGATGCAGCGGGGGAGTCTCGACCCTCAGTAATGAGGAAAACGACGCGAGGAGGAATCGGAAAATTAAATGTAATGTAAGGAGATGGTCACGACCCTCAGACTTGAAGAATGCGAGTGAGGGAGGACCGCCCTGCCTATTTCTGCCGTGAAGCAGTAATGCGTTTCGGGCTGAGGGGTAGGGCAGCCGTGGTAACTATACTGAGATCTNGACAGGAAAGGTAGATGGCAAACGTCCCAGAGGACGCAGTCCCACGAGATGGTCGGACCAAGTACGATCTTCTCTGAGCATCAATTTCCATAATGCCCTTCATGAAGCAAAGGATCGCGGCAGATGGAGGGAAGTCGTATGGGAGAAACTGATGCAGCGGGGGAGTCTCGACCCTCAGTAATGAGGAAAACGACGCGAGGAGGAATCGGAAAATTAAATGTAATGTAAGGAGATGGTCACGACCCTCAGACTTGAAGAATGCGAGTGAGGGAGGACCGCCCTGCCTATTTCTGCCGTGAAGCAGTAATGCGTTTCGGGCTGAGGGGTAGGGCAGCCGTGGTAACTATACTGAGATCTTATTTATTTATTTCTTTATTTGGACACACCAACAGCAATACACACAAAACATTCAAGCTTAAAATTAACATGTATAAAATTAAGTACTGGTATGTAAGCCAGTTACAGGCATGTACAGCAATCTCTTATAACACACTATGACATGTTACAGCAATTTTTCTTAGAACTTATATCTCAAGGTGGGTGGTGCATTTACATTGTAGATGTCTATGGGCTCCAGTAACCAGGTGGGTTAACGCCAGGTGGGTTGTGAGCTCGTCCACCCTTATAAGCAATAAAAAAAAATTGTCGGAAATTAATACGCGGCTGCCACTTCGCCTAGGGATGTTGGAGTGGCAATATCCAAATCGAACTACACTAAAATTATACGTTTCTCATTAAAATGCCGTTTTTGTGGCGAACACAAAACTTAATTGTTGAGATTAGTTTTACGTGACATAATTTGCTTAAGTAACCAGTTCACCTAAACACGTCCTGTTGGATTGAACGGTGCTGATCTTAGCTTCTAGTCCTAACGAAGTCGTAGGTTATGATGCTCGTGGGACTCTTTGAAGACTTCGACATGACACTTAGTCTTTAACACCAGCTAGCTCCATTCCTTCTTGGATTTGATTGCGAGTCGCAACTCCAATGGTAGGTTCCGATAGATGCGCTCTCGAAGTAACTGCTCTTAAGCTATTAGGGGCTGACGATCGGGGGTTGTCTTTAGCGAACCACCCTATCTGAGCCGGATCTGAGTTGGTGCACCCATCTTGTTGGAAAGACCTCCTCGCCACCATTAATCCCTCCATTACAAATAGATTGAGATGGATAGTGGCTTTAACTTAATGTTGTCTATGAGCTCCAGTAACCGGTCACTAATCAACGAGGCTGTGAGCTCGTTTGGCAATGTACAGCTAAGTCAGAGCTGACCACACTATAGCATACAAAGTGGGGTACACTATCTAATTTCTGCAGCACACTGAGCATCCCTGTATGCGTAGTGCGAGCTTTTTAACGTTCTCGACAGCGTAAAAGTTAATTTAAATTTGTATGAAGTTGGAATGTTTACCTACGTTTGCCGCCAGGGGCGCTGTTCTAACTACATACAAATTTGAGTTAACTTTTACGCTATCGAGAACGTTAAAAAACTAGAACTAAGCACACAGGTCACGCTTGCATCACGAAGCGACGCCTCAACCTGCCCTTATTCAAAGGAAAGGCACTCATCAGCATGATGTTTCGAGTAAAACAAAGAAATTAACGTATTACAATTTGAAAGTATATTTATTAAAGTTATTATCAGTGTTGTTTCATTTGACAATTATTTGAAATATAACGTTTTGCTGTGACTTCCGTCGTCGGATGTGACATTTTACGTGCACCTATAGTGTATACCTTTCACGCTTCATAGATAATTTTATTCTTCATGAAGACTTAAACATAACAATATTTTGTCTAGTAAAATACTGAAAAAACAGAGTAGGCGCTCTTGATGATCTGAAAAGAAACAAAACTTTACTTTTGTATTAGTTCTGAATCCGGAATGACTAAATTTATGTTTTATTTTATTTTATTTTTATTGCTTAGATGGGTGGACGAGCTCACAGCCCACCTGGTGTTAAGAGGTTCCTGGAGCCCATAGACATCTACAACGTAAATGCGCCACCCACCTTGAGATACAAGTTCTAAGGTCTCAGTATAGTTACACCGGCTACCCCACCCTTCAAACTGAAACGCATTACTGCTTCACGGCAGAAATAGGCAGGGCGGTGGTACCTACCCGTGCGGACTCACAATAGGTCCTACCACCAGTGATTACGCAAATTATAATTTTGCGGGTTTGATTTTTATTACACGATGTTATTCCTTCACCGTGGAAGTCAATCGTGAACATTTGTTAAGTACGTATTTCATTCGAAAAATTGGTACCCNCTCACAATAGGTCCTACCACCAGTGATTACGCAAATTATAATTTTGCGGGTTTGATTTTTATTACACGATGTTATTCCTTCACCGTGGAAGTCAATCGTGAACATTTGTTAAGTACGTATTTCATTCGAAAAATTGGTACCCACCTGCGGGATTCGAACACCGGTGCATCGCAACAACGAATGCACCGGACGTCTTATCCTTTAGGCCATGACGACTTCAAAATGTGGAGAATCATTTGGGGTGGGTTTCCCATTCCGGCTGTTTTTTTTTTATTGCTTAGATAGTTGGACGAGCTCACAGCCCACCTGGTATTAAGTGGTTACTGGAGCCCATAAACATCTACGACGTAAATGCGCCACCCACCTTTAGATATAAGTTCTAAGGTCTCAAGTATAGTAACAACGGGTGCCCCACCCTTCAAACCGAAACGCATTGATATTAGTTTAATTCAATTCACATTTTGGCCAAAGTCTACATGATCTGTTTAACAGAACAGCGAGGAGCACTGCTCTTATGCCTGGAGCAGGGCCCCCAGCTTCCAGAACCAGCCGTTTCGATTTGATTCGTCACGAAAGTCGGTTCTTTAGAATATTAATTATATTTTTTATTTTTTTATTTATTAATTAAGAATTAAAATTAATTAATTAGAATTATATATATTTAAATTCTTTAGAATACTGGTTTTAGGACCCCTTGTGTGTCCGCACGGGTAGGTGTTACCACCCTGCCTATTTCTGCCGTGAAGTAGTAATGCGTTTCGGTTTGAAGGGCGGGGCAGGCAGGCATACTTGAGACCTTAGAACTTATATCTCAAGGTGGGTGGCGCATTTACGTTGTAGTTGTATATAGGCTCCAGTAACCACTTAACACCATGTGGCTTGTGAGCTCGTGCACTCATCTAAGCAATAAAAAATAAAAATAAAAAATCGTTAAACATGGTTTTACGGATGGCTTAGAATCTTTGGGCTTACGGAGATTTATTGTGTTCATAAATAATGCTCTTTTCGAAGACTTGTTTGCTTAACAAAGCAATAGTTTTGTATATCTGCTATTTCCTAAGAGGTTTCAACATGTCCTTCTTCAATCAAAACCTGAAGAGGCTTCTGAGTGCTGTCCAGTCACTTGTCGTCAAGTAGGTATGCCCAAGCGCATTTCTTTGCGTGGGGATTGAAAAATGTAGCAGCTTATAAAATATAACCTTATTCTATATATTATGTAGGTATCAATTTCACTTATACGATTGTAAATACGTAAATATTATTTACCGCTACAAAATTCTTGTGTGAAAGTTCGACAAATCCTAGTGCCCACATCAGTATTGGTTGCTGAAAAATTAAAATATATCAAAAATCACTACATAGTATAAAAGAAAGTCGCTTTCTCTGTCCATATATCTGTCTGTCCCTATGTATGCTTAAATCTTTAAAACTACGCAACGGATTTTGATGCGGTTTTTTTTAATAGATAGAGTGATTGAAGAGGAAGGTTTATATGTATAATAACATCCATTAAATAGTGGAGAAATCAATAATAAATTACAGTTTCCGAAGTGTTTTACTGGTGGTAGGACCTCTTGTGAGTCCGCGCGGGTGGGTACCACCGCCCCGCCTATTTCTGCCGTGAAGCAGTAATCAGAAGCAGAAGCGTTTCGGTCTGAAGGGTGGGGCAGCCGTTGTAACTATACTGAGATCTTAGAACTTATATCTGAAGGTGGGCGACGCATTTACGTTGTAGATGTCTATGGGCTCCAGTAACCACTTAACACCAGGTGGGCTGTGAGCTCGTTCGCCCAACTAAGCAATAAAAAAAAACGCAGTGAGGGCGGGTCGCTAGTAACGTATATAACGAAAATAGATATAAGTACCATATATGAATATGGTCGACATTAACGATAGAGTGGGAGGTCCTCTAAATGAGGGCTTCGAACAGGGAGAGATGTCGGGATATCATGAGACGAGTCAAGTCTGCCCCTCATGACAATCACAACCACTTCGTCAAGAGTGACACGATTAAGAAGATATATGGGCATAATAATACGTGACTAAAACGATACCTATATGAGCCACATAATGCAAATTGCCTGTCACACTTTTCAACAATTTGAGTACAATGATGTCTATTTCCTCACTATATTATTGTGACTGTAAACATCTGCCTAATTCCGGATCTGACATGCAAAATGTTCCCAGTAAAAAGTTCACTGCTAAACTAATTAAAAACATACCAAGGACAGGGAAGCATTGATCCATCGAAATTTCGACAAACAAAGAGACAACCAGTATCTGATCTGTGTGCTTTAGTGCGAGTTTTTTAACGTTCTCGATAGCGTAAAAGTTAACTCATATTGATATTGAATGGGATCGTTTGCGAACGTTTGTCGCTAGGGGCGCTGTTCTAACTGCATACAAAATCGGGTTAACTTTTACGTTATCGAGAACGTTAAGAAACTCACACTAAGCACAGTGATCTGAGTATTGATACTGTCACACAGGCTCTGAAGCTCAAATGGAAATGCACCCTGAATACGCCGCTAAACATATTGTAGTTAAAACTGTTTGGTACTACCATACATAAGAGTCAAAATCACCTGTGCTTTCCGATTCAGGCACCCGTCGCGTGCTGACGTGCTCATCGACCGTTCGATTGCCCGACCTCGGTTCGGGGCACATCTGGCGTCCAAGTGTTTTTCTCGGAAGTGACTACCTGTGTTAATTGCGTCGCATCGCCATCTGTGAGCGGGCGGACCCCTAAATTCCAGGAATTCGTTCGGTAACTTAGTGGCCCGTTTGCAAGCGGACGGCTGNCCATGCATCAGCCCGCTGAGTTTCTCGCCGGATCTTCTCAGTGGGTCGCGATTCCGATCCGGTAGTAGATTCATTCGCGAAGCAATTGCTCTTGAGTTGTTAGGTCTCCTTCGGAGGCGCTCGGGCAGTTGTTAGCAAATCCCACCCCTCCTGGCTGAGCCTTTGCTCGCCCACCTGTCCTGGTGAAGCTGGAAAGGCCCCCGGGCCACCAGTAAACTTTCAACCAAAAAAAAAAAAAAAAAACCTGTGCTTTGTTCATGGAGATAGTGACCAAGCTTCTAATGCGAGCTGAGGACTTTCCACGACAGTTGTACCAGCCCGAACCGTAGATGGCGTCGGGTAGTTGTGATGCCTGAGTTTAAAAAAAAACAAAATATAATATGAAAAAAAAAAAAACTTCAAGCCTTATTGCCGTAGAACGTTATGTTAACGTTAACTCAAGCACATGCTTCTCCGAACGTTAGCTTTTTATTATTATTATTATTTACAGTTTTAGATAATGAAGGGTAGCAGTAAATCAAAAGAATGAATAATCACATAGGAGACAATTTGAAAGTGTCCAAAATGCAGCCAATACTAGCTAAAAATCACCAAAACACATCTATATTAAAATTATTTTAAATTTGAATTTCAGTTTTTATTATACGTTTTAAAATATTACTTACTGTGTTCTGATAACAATTTCATAGTCATTTCTTCCTGAAACCTATCATTTATGTTTCTAAAGTAAAAAATCAATTTTTTTATGTTAAAAATTATGTTAGGTGGTAAATATTTTAGAACCGTTACAGTGGGGCATGGCACAAAAAAGGTTGGGAAAAACCGTCATAAGGTAAGCATTATTTTTTTTAAATAAAACGGTGGATTTGTGCTTTATAAGCATATTTTTTGTAACAGTATACTGATTTTATTAAATACTTCTTACCAATTACCATAAATATTTTTTTAATGTTATGCTATTAAATAATATTTATAAATTAAGTTTCATTTACAAATTTTATTGGTGTAATTAATTGTGTATCACGTGTTGTGTATCACGTTTGTTACAAATATTACCTGCACGGTAATATCTCCGGCTGTCCACATAAAGAACGCCATCAGGACAACGGTTACCAGCACCGATGACATTTGTGAGCACAAGCCGCAGAAGTCATTTTCTGAATTCTATGAAAAAAAAAAAACGATGTGCCGTTAGATGCTTGATGTTACTGGTGGTAGGACCTTTTCGAAGTCCGCACGGGTAGGTACCACCGCCCTGCCTATTTCTGCCGTGAAGCAGTAATGCGTTTCGGCTTGAAGGGTGGGGCAGCCGTTGTAATTATACTGAGACCTTAGAAGTTTTAGCTCAAAATGGGTGGCGCATTAACGTTGTAGGTGTCTATGGGCTCCAGTAACCACTTAACACCAGGTGCACACCACCTGGTGTTAGCTCGTCTACACATCTAAGCAATAAAAACCTACCTACCCGCGCGGACTCACAAGAGGTCCTACCACCAGTAATTACGCAAATTAAATTTTGCGGGTTTGATTTTTATTACACGACGTTATTCCATCACGGTGGAAGTCAATCGTGAGCATTTGTTAAGTACGTATTTCATTAGAAAAATTGGTACCCGCCTGAGATTCGAACACCGATGCATCGCGCTCAACGAGAATGCACCAGACGTGTGTCCCTGTGGAGTTTAATATTGTTCGTCTATTGTCACAGCTTTTTAGCGAGAATTTTTCATGGTCTATGATTCATCTAACTAAACAACATATGTATACACTATAACTTAAATACCGTCTAATCTGTAACTATTTCTTAACCAGAATTTAAAATAATTTCAAACATTTTTTAACGTCTACCATTTGTAAATCACTGAAGTGTTTAATTCATAAATAAAATTACGTCCAAGTTTAAAGAGGATTAGTGACAAAGCTAGTTTAAAAAAAACAAGGTCCATGCGTCCATATTATTTCGGGTTTTTCGTTTGAGATTGCCTGTAGGCAATGGGATTTATTGTATATTACTAATCTAAATAACTAGTAATGGCATAATATATTATGGTAAACAGCCATGTAACACACCACCATCGCCAACATCAAGACAACGAGAACAAAGGTGTCCAGCAGAATATTAGCACTGAACACGGTCCGACACATAATTTGACATCTTCTGACACACCTGCGAACAACAATTTACGATCGTAACTGAAATATATCTTTCATACATAGTATACAAATTTATTATCAAACTAACTGTACCCGTCTGCTTCGCTTGGCATTTAAAATTAACATTATTTCTCACCCCCATAAAGATTCTGATCATTAACGCCCCCGCAACTGGTGTAGGAAGTCCAACATTCATATATATACATATTATTAGTCTATCCATTAAGTACATGTATTTTCTACATGGATACCAAGTTTCAAGTCAATCGGATGCATGGTTCAGTAGTTATAACGGAACATCCGTAAAAACCACTGTAGATATAATAATATATAATAATAATATATAATATATAATGTATATATAATAATATACATTAGTATAGATATAATAAATGTCCTCAAATACTATGTACAAACTATAAAAGAAGCAATCTCGGAATATTTCCCAATACTTGCGAGAGCGTTATCAGCTTTGCTTATCAGAAAGGCTCTTGCTAGGGTTCGTGTTAGCGACGTCGTCAGATTTGAGCCCCGTGAGCTCACTTTCTAGTTAAGTTTCGCTGATATAGCCTCTCAACGCTATCAGCTTAGATAGGAAAAAAAGAGAAAACAGAAAGTGTATAGGAGCTATAAGTATCGCTGCCTGTGGGTCTTTTTTTTTCGACGAGTACACGGCTCACATGAGAGTGAGTGATTATCGTCACCCATGGACATCAGCAATGCTAGAGACAGAGGCACGCCGTTGCCTATCGTGAATTATTAATTAAATAATACAAAATAAACCAATAGTCTGATCTAACGCTTAATCTCAAATTAGATTTCGGGTAGTAAATGATGGAAGGTTGAGAAATTATTACGTGCGCACTATTGAAGCTGACATTGCTAGAACACAAAATTTGAAGAGAACGTTAAATTTTCTTAGCTTTGTGTTTTAATTCGGAACGTCAAAAGTGTCGACGAGCGACGTCCGCTATGACGCTTTACCCTTTTCAATTCCAGCCGCCAAGGGCGACACATCGATTTCATATTTCATATATTCATATATCTTTAATTTGTCACCTATGGACTAATATTAAAGATATCACCAATAAATACAGTCCACTCATTCACCACAACGCAACATATGGTCCTTCGAGCCGATTAGTGCACCATGAGAACATAGACATCAACACAAAATAGTAAACACATCTCTGTACAAGTTGTACTTATTAGGTTAATTTAAACATATTATTAACATTACAAAAAGGTGATTAGCGTAAAAAAGTTCTAATTAACCAAAAACCTTGATTAGTATTTTTTTAAAGCTTACCAAATTATTTGCGTATGTATTTTTATTCCATTACAGAAAGCATTTTCAAATTCAGCCTCTTTAACTTCATGGCTTGAAGTTTCGTCATCAAAGATTTTGTTCAGACTTTCAAAGTAGCTGCATAAAATTTTATACTGATACTTGATACTTATCAAGATACATACTATGACAGCAAATACTGTTGAGATTCTAAAGAAGTGAATGCACCAGAATAAGTAAAAACCAATCCTTGCGTAACCAGCAGTTTTTGAGGTATCAGTTTTATCTGGCCACGCTGTTATTATTCCTAAGAATGGTTCGTCTGTGGATTTTAAATTTGTACAGATTAAAAACGAAAATAGAACAGAGAATAATTGAGAAATAAATTTGCTTAACCAAAGTGAAAGCATTGTAAGCTGCTTACCTGAGTTAATTGTTTGAAAAAATGCAATAATACCATTACTGACTAGAATTGTAATAGACGCAAACACATAAGTGCTTATGTAGGACTTTATCTTCTTAACCATACTTTTTTCAATTTCTACATCATTGTAATATATTTTGAGAACAACCGCCAAATGATAAAATAAGTCTTTAATCTCGTTTCTATTGCGTATGAAATTGATGCAAAAGATATAAGCCATCGGATTCGATATACCGATTACAATGACGTCTGATTTTTGTTGGCTGTTCAAGCTATTTTGCGTGAAAATAGCGAAAAACTGAAGGCCAGCGAACATTCCACACATAATGTGTAAAATAAAAGTAACAACCTTAAAAAATACATGAAATCTTCGCGATAATTTAATCTCGTCAACCCATATGCCTTGCAACCCTAAAATGTATAAAATTATGTTGAGTTTATCATATAGCTTCGTAGTTTCATTTTGTACATTGATTACAAACTCATGCATTGTTTCCTATTATAAATTGACTGAAAAATATACTAAAGTAATGTTTTATTTTATATGCTGCTTTGTTGATACTGTTGATGAAAACAGTAGTTTTGGTTTAAATAATTAATAATGTCCAGTTGCTTACAATTCGTTTTATTACAATGTTGTTGTCAATAGTCTGTAAATTGTAAGTTGATTTTTCAATTTCATGCAATTATTGTATTGCTAACTGCTTATTACATTTTTAATACTACAGAAAACAATAAATAATTCACTAGTTTAATATTTACTTGGTACCTACTTGAAATAATCGATTCAAAAGTGAAGAAACCCTAAATTAACAAAATATGTAAAACAATTAGTAAAACTTTATTTGGGTTCCCGCCAAAAAGCCTAGAAGATAAAATAATTAATGTATTGTAGCGGTAGTCATCATAGTAGACAGTAATTCATAGATGCCTGAATCAAACGAAATTTTCAAGTTAAGCTCACATATAGATCTGTATAAATGTTCCGAACAATAACATTTGGACCGTCGTTCTATTGAGCAATGTCACCCGCTCGGTGGAAAATCTTCCCTTTGTCGTTAACCTCCCAAAGTATGTAAGACTAATCTGAGTTCTAGTAGTTCTAAGTATACTAATATATAAATCTACAGTGGTTTTTACGGATGTTCCGTTATAACTACTGAACCATGCATCAGATTGACTTGAAACTTGGTATCCGTGTAGATAATACATGTACTTAATGGATAGGCTAATATTTATATGAGTGTTGGACTCCCTAATAATAATGACAATAAATAATAATGTTCATTTTAAAGGCCCAGCAAAGCGGGCGAGTACGGCTTGTGCTCTTATAAGTTTTAGTTTAGAGATTTTTTGAAGGTGGAGGCGGCCTTCTCCAGTGATGATTAGATGGGAAGCACGATCATGCTCGCACGGTTACCGCGCTTCGTTCAAACGGGCGAGAGCTGCCTTACCCCCGCGCCTCCAGTTTTTTGGTAGTGGTAGGGAAGACAAGATTGTGTGGAAAGTGGCCCGCTTTGATTCGGTTTTGAATTTTTATTTCCATATTTATATAGCGAGAATAACACATGAGGAAATTTATTATTGTTGTTGTTGCGCGCTGGGGCTCGGATATATAAAACTTACATCGAAGTACAAATTAAAACTCTATTTAACAGTTAGAGCACTTAAGACACACTTCACCATTCGCAATGAATTTCACCCGCTTCGCTTCAGGTGATCCGTTCGCTGTTTCGCTTCGAGTAGAACCGATTATTAACAGCCTTTTTAATACGCTTTTATTAGCTTCAGAAGACGTATGTATGTTAGTATGTAACGGAATCTTTGAACATGATTTTGACCCCCTTCAAAACGTCGGATTAACTCGAAATTTGGTATACTTATTAAGGAACCGATGACAATTCAATATTAAAAAAATTTAAAAAAATAATGAAAAAATTGAAATTCAACAAAATAATGAAAAATATATAATAGTTTAAAAAAACTTACAAAATACGCTTTTATAGAAAATCCAACGTATTACTTGTGACCCGGAGGCCTTTCTAGTTTCCAGGACATGTGGGCAAGCAAAGGCTCAGCCAGGAGGGGTGGGATTTGCTAACAGCTGCCCGAGCCTTATCGAAGTACCGTTCCGACGCTGTCTTCGGGTGTTTCCGGATTGATTCGAGGCCGAGGTCGTCGATGTTCCTGACGAATCACGATGCTCAGACGGCTAGCCTGCAAAAACCGGGTTTACCGGGTTTATATAAGCCGATAACGTCCGCTTCTTTCCACACCGCGGGAAACTTTTCCACCACCACTTTTCCTGTCGCCAGAAGTGTTCCTCCAGCCTGCGAACCAGCTCCTCTTCCTGGCTATGAGCTTGCTCTTCTTAGTAGTCCGTACTATAGTGGTCCGGTTTCTAGCGCTCCGTTCGCTGCTTCGCTTCGAGTAGAACTGATCACTAACTGCCTTCATGCTCATCAGAAATCTGTCACCCTGGCCTGCATAGGCCCCGGGAGAACCAATCCAGGCTATGGCCTGCCTTGGTGGTATCGGCACCATCTGCTACTACAGACGGGTCACTGGGTTGCACCTTCTTGATCTGTGGCATCGATAATTGAGAAGTTTTGGCTGTGGCTAGGACTACGTCCAGCCCGGGCCCAAGGGAGACGGCGGCGCTGCAAGTTGCTCGTAAGCGAACAAACATCATCGTCCGATGAAGCTGCGGGCGGGTCGCATGTTTCTGCGACAAAAGCGGCTGTTGCCGGGTCGAGGGCATGCTGATCGACGCAGTGGAATGATATTGTTTAAGAGGCGAGACGAGTGCGGTCCAAGGGTGAACCTCGGCACGCCGACGCCCACCGACCCGAGTCCCGGGGCTTGCCGCTGGTGGCAGACCGGGAGCTGAAGCCGGCAAGAGCGACGTGTTGGTACGAGGAGCACTCCTGGACGCAGTAGTAACGTAAGGCAGCAGTTTGAAGCGCGTACTAATTGAGTGGTACCGAGCACCGGTGCACACGTCTGCACTCGACAGCTGCCTGAGCACTCAAACTGCTTTCGTGTTATTTCTTCAACGCTTTTATGCTCGATACGACCAGTCTACAATTATCGAGAACATTCTCGGTAGTCTTAGTGAATCCGATATGTGTTTTCGCTATTTTATGGCATTTCTCGAGCGTTTTTGATATTACTAGTTCTTTTGATATTTGTTTCTGCTATTTGATGAGAAATGACGTTACTCATATCAGCATAAAGCTATATTTAATCTAATTTATAAATGTATTTAATTGCTCTCAATAATTCTTCATAGGGATATAAATGGTTCACTTTTATCCTTCGCCTCCATGAATATTCGCACAACCAGTCTGTGAAATTACATTTACATAGGCGGCACTGAAAATTTCGGGAATTAACGAAGTGAGACAACATTACTATTTAAAAATGTATTTATTGCTTTTCGAAGTATTCTCCGCGAAATTTGACACATTTTTCCATACGATGGAACCAATCATTGAAGCAACCATTCCATTCGGAAGTTTTGTGTCAGGATGAGCCCTCTCTCTTCCGCAAACAGAACGCACTGGTCATGTGTTCCCAATTTGACGAAGATCTTTCTCCAGTTCCACATAGACCTGAACAAATAAAAAAGTAGGTAATTAAAATTTATGATGCTACACATAATTACATTTTCTAACCTCACTAATGCTAACCTAGTTTAACTTGACCATTTTCAATCTTTAATAAACAAACATATTTACAATCATAAAGAGATAGTTTCGCACAAAAACACATTCAGAATTGTAACATAAAACGGATCGATGTGTGAGTGAGCATATTACTTCTATGTTTACAAAAATTTAAACTTACCTTATCCCATCCGAGTTAAAATGAAATTTTCTGCCAGGTGACCCAGTAGGCTTGGGCAACGCAGGAGTAATGTCTTCATCCTGGTCCTCTGAAGAACTAGCGGTAGCTAGTAAGCTAACACTAGAGCTAGCTACTACTCCACTGGGACCGGCAACTGGTGAGGCCGTGACAAGCGGCTCATCAGATTCCAACACTTGCACATCACTCGACTCTCCAGATACAGAAGCATAGGACTTCGGACTTAATAAAATAGCTTCGTTTGACTTTTTGGCGGGAACGCGAGAAGTGAAGTTGTGTGATTTGTTTTATTTTGTCTATTTAGTGTTTATTCAGGTTTAAATGTGTAATAACGGTAGTTTATTAACTGTTTAATATCTGTGAAGGTGCACCAATGTGAGAAAATGCAACAAAGCCGCTGGACGTCACTTCTCGGGATCCTCCAAAAAGTCCAATGAAAAAGTCTTAGTAGATGACCACCATTTTACTGAGATTATATTTCATCCTATATCATCTCATCTCCTTTCATTTGATTTCATACCAGTTGATTAATGTCTCAAATCAATCATGTTCATTTCATTTCATCATTTTTCGTAAAAATAAGAAAATAAATTTAAATAAGACATGACTTAAAAGTCTTAGTTACTAGGTCATAAAATCCCTTAAAAAAAATAGCTCATTTAATTATTTATTTATTTTGAGATTTTATGACCTGGTATTTACAATACAACCTTTAAGTCAAAGCTACATTTCATGTTCCGTTCCACAGTATACACAAAAGTCTGTAGGTACATTGTTTTTCGTCTAAAAAAGTAAACGCCATTGTACAATACCGCAACAATTATTATACACATCAATTACTTACACCAAATTTAATGTGTGACCATGTGAAAATAATAAAATATTATATATTTAGTTTTCCAATTACAGAGCATAATGCGACTCAGTGACGCACAATACCGAATTATGAAGCTTAATTGGAACATGAAGTAGTTTTCAAATTCATCAGCAGAGTGCGCTAAGTTCAGTCTTGAAAATAATGTGGTAAACAATAATAATTGGTTGAAAACTATTTACGGTTATTTTAAGTCATTTGGATTTTGATTATTTCATTAACATTTTTTTTACGTTTTGAGTAATTTTTTTAAATGAGTTCTAAGAAAATTATATACTTTTTAATTGAATCATCTTATCCAGATGATGGTGATGACGATGATTTATCGGGTACTCCGAGTTCAAATCAATCAATCATTTCATTATCAAGTGATATAATTATTGAAAATATATATGATAATGAAACAGATGAGTTATTTGAGCCATTAATAAAATATCTGATGACAGGTTGTCGAAAGCAAAGAGTAGAAAATTATCATAATGTAGTAAAAGCTTGGACGGATGCTGAATTTAAAGACAATTTTCGATTATCGCGAACAACTGTACTGCATATCATCTAATGAGTACATATTTTAAAAATTCGTATTTTTGAGCTATCTATTGCTATCTATTTATATTTCGTATCTATTGATACAATATAATATATTACTGAAACCTTTTTTTGTAGATGAACTTGAAACATCGACTTTTATTCCCAAGAATACCTTTGGAATGAAACCCATCACCGCTGAAATAAGCTTTTTAATAATTTTGTGGTTTATTGCAAATACTGAACCTGTGGTGAATGGTTTTTCACACAGAGATTAACAACGGGAGACGTCCGGAAGAAAAGAAAGACAGGCTGTCAGATTGAGAAAAAAATGTCATGAGATAAAAATTTGTGTTTTACGTTTTTAAAAGGTTCAAAGGATAAAAACCAATTGATTGTTAATGTATACGATTTTAAGGTGCGTGTGGAATAAATAAGTGCTTCCTATACTGCAGTTTGAGTTTAATCCGCAACGACGACAGTTGACAACATATTTCCTAAAATGGTGACCCCGACACGAGAAATTGAGATGTCCNAGTATTAGAACGCTCCCCTGATGGGAAAACGTTCACACTGTCCATAAAAAATAACAAAGTTGTCGTGAGTGTAGACAGACTTAAGCCGGCTTTCATAGATCACATTGATGATGAACGGAAGCAAGCCGAGCCTTTGTCTTGTCAGCAAAATCAAGCCTTACGACCAATGGATCTGGAAAATCCGCCGCTGTTGCCGCTGTCAATTCCAATAAAAATTCAAGGTGAGAAAACAAAAGAGCCTTATACCACACGCTCAGGCAGACGTGTCAGATTTAAAAAAATTACTGATTTATAAGAACTACTTGTATCTTGTTACCTGTTGTTACCTATCGTTACCTTATACTTGTTACTTGTTACCTGTAATTTTCACTTATAATTCTTCGTTTTATACAATTATTCTTGTAATACATTCGCACGTATACCTAATTATGCGTAATATTAAGAGTATAGTGACAATTTTGATTAAGGGCTCTCAACTAGCGTATCTTTCTCCGTGGGGGTGTGGTGTGGTGAATGGTTTTTCACACAGAGATTAACAACGGGAGACGTCCGGAAGAAAAGAAAGACAGGCTGTCAGATTGAGAAAAAAATGTCATGAGATAAAAATTTGTGTTTTACGTTTTTAAAAGGTTCAAAGGATAAAAACCAATTGATTGTTAATGTATACGATTTTAAGGTGCGTGTGGAATAAATAAGTGCTTCCTATACTGCAGTTTGAGTTTAATCCGCAACGACGACAGTTGACAACATATTTCCTAAAAACCATTGCGGACTATATCAATTTTTTTTTATATTTCATTTTCATCAACATTCCGAGTCATTCGCCGTGTCATAAATTGGATTCTAACGAAATTGGATGATGTTATCAAGTGGCCTCAGATTAAAAATAAGATTACTAACGATATAAACAAAATTTCGATCAATGCCAACTTTAAGAAAAAACACTTGTCAATTTTCTGTCACTGAGTTGGTATCGCGCAGTACTTTTGAGAGTGCTCGATTGTGCGAAGCGTTGCTGTAGTTGGAACATTCAACGTTGAGCATTATGTCGCATAATGCGCTCTAGTGCTGTAATTGGAAAACCACCAGAATGAACAGACACCTCTACCGTTTGGTCTAAAGGCCAAGTTTCAAAGGCCGTTTGGTCTAGATACCAGGCCATAAACTACAACAAAAACCTCTACCATCAAGTACGTCAATGACATGTCAACTTTGACGTCTACCATGACAATTTCTCTAATTTGTATGAAAACTTTAAAAAAATATGTATCGTACGTAAACCGTGAATCTCCGCTATTTGAAAATTTGTAATAAAAATTCTATTTGTACGTACTCAAAAAAAAAAATGAACTTCCAAATCGATGGACCATAATGGAAGTTTTATCTTTTTAAATTCTTGACTTATGTTTTGTTGTTAAAATGCGTAAATATACTCGTCGAAAGCCAGAAAGCGAACTGATAGTAGACGCTCTCGACTTATGTAGATTGTGCCTTCAGAAACCTCAGGAGGCCATTCCCATTTTCGAAGGCACCAACAATATTTGTGGAACACTGTCCCTGAGAATCATGATGTGTGTAGGCCTTGAGGTAAATATTGAAAACATTATTTCATTTTCAGTAAAGTCTTATCAAATTTAACGAGTGGCTAATGTGCTTTGGTTTTAATACTTAATGCATACAATTTATGATTACAAAACCAGATTAAGAATAATTTTTTTCTGTAAATTCTATGTTCCCTATTGTCAATATGCTTGCTGAAAGCCTACATAATATTAGACAGTTACAAGTGTTTACAGGTACCACATCACTATAGCTGCTACCTTTCATAAAATGGTTAATGTTTCAGTTTGAATTCATAATAATTGTCTCATGTTTCAAACCAATACATGAGTGCATCTCTACAGAAACTTACTAAAAATTTAAAACAAGAAGACTATGACCAATCTGTTTGACTATTAATCCCAACAGAAATATGATTTGAATATTTTTCTTTCAGTTAACACACGAGAATTGTCTACCAAATGTAATTTGTACTGGCTGCTTTGAAGAACTAAATAGATGTTATACATTCAGAAAAAAATGTGAAGTCTCATATCAAAAACTCAAATCACATTTACAAGCGGTCAAAGAAAAGGAATGTTTAAACCAGACAATGCAGCAAGCTGTTAAAGATGATGTGAATTTAAATAAAAATGTAATTAATAATCATATAAATAAAGATAATGGATATGCTGTGTTAAGTCATGATCAGTTAACATCAGACTTGCAAATATGCAATGGGGTTATCGAAGTGAATAGTGATGCTACTATGGTACGTAACATTTTCAAATGTGTGCTGTTTTAAGAACTTTCCAAACACAATAGTATGATTGCTGTTGGATTTAAGATATTAATACTGAATATGCCAAGGCTGAATTAAATCACTAATAATATTTTCTTTGCATTCCTAAACATAATTAAAGCTATTAGGACCTAGAATAAGTTCCCAATGTTTCTTCAAAGTTGGCAGTTGCAGTACTCCATGAATTCTATCTTAAATTTTAGTGTATGGTGGCTCACTTTGGTGTAAACAAATAAATTTTTTCATAGTTCTGAATATGTCTACTTTTGTGCCAAATAAAGTGTATTTATGTGTTGTATTCTGTGACTGGCGATGAAACGTGGATACACTACGATAATCTAACGTGTAGAAAATCATGGGGTAAGCCTGGCTATGCATCAACATCGTCTACAAAACCAAATATCCATGGCTTGAAGCTTCTCTGTATTTGGTGATACCAGGAAGGTGTAATTTATTACGCGCTACTCAAACCGAATGAGACTATCCCGGGGGATCGTTATCAACATCAATTGATGTGTTTAACACGAGCCTTAAAAGAGAAACAGCCACTATACAAGCAGAAACATGATAAAATGATTTTTGTACATGACAATGTTCGGCCTCATGTTGCAAAACCTACCTGGAATCGCTTTACTGGAAGTTCTATCCCACCTGTGGATTAACCTGACATAGTCCCCTCTGATTGTGACCTATTCAGTTTGATGGCACATGGCCTAGTTGACCAGCGCTATCATTTGTATGAAGAAGCTAAAAAAAAGGAATAGCCTCAAAAGATACATTCTTACGCTATTTTTAATTAAAATTTATTAAAATTTATTTTCTATTTTCAGTTGGATTTTCTATAAAAGTGTATTTTGTTAGTTTTTTTAAAAGTTTTTCCGACGCAGAATTCATATACTGCCGGAAAGATGGGAGCAAGTAGTCGCTAGCGATGTGCAATACCTACTTTGAATAAAATATGTTTGTTCCTTTTAATTTAAATAAAGCTTTTATTTTGAAAAAGAAACAGCGAGAACTTATTCAAGGTCCTAATACTTTAATAGTTTAATTTTGTGTTTTAATGTCATTATAATATTTTATTGTGTTATGTAATTTTAATTTCATATCATTCAAATCATTTTTCAGAATGAGCAAAGTATATTTCAAGATGGAAAACGTTTTGGTGAAACAGACGATGTATTGCAGGTAAATATATATTTAAAGCTAGTGAGCACTTTAACTTTAAATATCAATGTAAAATTTCAATACTCAAAGATTTTGCTTACATGATAAAAACTTGCTGCCTATTTTCGTCAAATCAATATGTATATTTTGGATAAGGGTGAGAGGGATCTATTGAGTACCATTCCATCTTATTTAAGAAGTCATTCCAGTAATTAATAAAAAATATAAACTTGTCTGTAATGTCTTCTTATGCCCCACCGAATCTTGGTGTAATACAATTGGGTGTTCTAATTCTACATACAAGCACCATACTATTTTTTTTTTTAATTATATGTTTTTTAATCCTAGGGAATGTTTTAAACCCTCATGGCTAGTACTTAGTACCTATTGCTGCCTCACATCAACATCCTAGCTTGAAGAATAGAAAAGCAGCTCTTTCAGTGCCAAGTTATCTTCAATGTGGTGTTTTGTGGTGACTGGCAATGTTTGGACCAAATGTCCAAATTTTCGACCCAAGTTTCCAATATTTGCCTCACACCAAATTAACTGTGGTCACATGTACAGCATCATGGAAAAGTTTCTTTGTATATTTCCAGGAAGCAAGAGATACAGAGATCACACCAGATATATCATCATTCTTATCAACATTACTAGTACAAGTTGGAGTGCTATCCCAGCAAGATGATATGTATGTATTTATGGACTCGAGTATAAACAATTTGCAGCTGTCCACGGGCGATGGAAAGACTGTATCGTTAGAACTAGTAGAAGAATATGAGGTGATTGCATTTTTTATATGATAATAGACTGTTTATTAATCAGAACATATGATTCTGGTCTCAAATCATGGCTCATGTGGTTACTATTTCCAGTAAAACTTCCTATGAGCAGGAATGTTATTGTGAGTAAGCAATATGACAAACATGTTGAATTTGCAATACAAAGCTTCCTTCACTAACCATCCGAACTGAATTCTTTGTAACAATTTAGTTATACTATAAAAAATTTAATTTAAGGAAGAAAAGGAACCTGTTAAAGAAACAGATCCCGTGTTAAATGAAGAAAACACAAATGTTATTACTTCGACTGATACAGCGAACGTTAGCCAACCTTTGAATCAAAAACTACCAAGCAGCGAGAATCAGAGCAAAGGACAGTAAGTACACTTACAACAATAATAAAAACAATAGGAACTAGAACCGATCTTAATTATAAAAAATTAAAAATAAAACGCAATATACAGGGTGTCGCAAAAAAAGGTATATCAAGCCGAAAACTGTAGATAATGTTCTATTAGAATAGTCCAAGTAGAAGAAATGTTAGAGAGTAAATAATTTCGGAAGAAAGACTACATGCTTGAACATAACAAAAAAATATTTTTCTACCAACCGTACCTTACATTTCACGGTACCGTAATATAATGGGTAATATCAAGCGATTTTCTTACTTTTTCTTTCATTATTTTTATTGCTTAGATGAGTAGACAAGCTCAAGGCCGACTTGAGGCTTTTTTTTTTCGGGCCGGAGGCTGAACCTCCTACGAGGTCCCCGCGCCTAGAGGGCACGCGGGGTATATGGGATTTGACGATCTTCAGGTGTTGGGAGCAGACCGTGGGCCCAAGGAATTTTAGGGCCCTACCCACTAAACGACTCCCCTGCACTCTTACACCCGACGTCCGATCTCCGTCCGGGGTTAGAACCCAGTCAGAGTAGGGGAGTTCCCGCAGTCAACGACCGTTTTTAAAACAACTTTTTTGTCTTTCGCCGTAAGAAGTTTAAAATTTGTTTCGAGAATTTGAGCATGATGGACCTAGTAATACGATTGAATTTTTTGTCCTGTTCACTCTTTGAAGTGAGTTGAACGAATCCGTTATTGATTATCTCTTTGAGACGTGTTTAACCGAATGAACGGCCAAACCATACTTTTTTTGCATAAATGCAAGACCGTCATCGAACAATTAAAACAATTAATTAATTAATTAGTTTTGCTATGAAAGTCCTAATTCTAATTTATATATTTTTTTACATTCTTAAAATGATCTTCACTGTTGTAGCCACGTTACGGCTTGATTTACCCATTGTGGAATACCCTGTGTAATATAGATGAATATGCATTTTTTTTCAGTTTTCGTGAATCATAGACAAAATTATGCCTCGTGCCTTCGTTTTTCGCACGTGCAATGTTGTGACGGCTGTGTAGTGTTTGTTAGGAGAGTGTGTTGCGGCATAATACGCACGTGCAATGTTGTGACGGCTGTGTCGTGTGTGTCAGGGGAGTGTGTTGCGACGTAATGTGCACGTGAAATGTTATGACGACTGTGTCGTGTGTGTCAGGAGAGTGTGTTGCGACATAATGCGCACGTGCAATGTTATGGCGGCTGTGTCGTGTTGTCAGGGGAGTGTGGTGCGGTGTTATGCGCACGTGCAATGTTGTGACGGCTGTGTCGTGTGTGTCATGGGAGCGTGATGCGGCGTCATGGGCACGTGCAACGTTGTGATGGCTGTGTCGTGTTTGTTAGGGGCGCGTGGTGCGGCGCGTGCGGCAAGCGGCTGTCGTCCCGCGGCGCGCTGCGGCGACACGCGCACGTGCACACGGTGGAGCGGCCGCACGCCTGCTCCGTGTGCGGCCGGACCTTCGCGCAACGCTCCGTGCTTCAGAGACACAAACTAGTACATCTAGGTCTGACTCCTCTTTATTACTCGTGGTAGGACCTCTTGTGAGTCCGCACAGGTAGGTACCACCGCCCTGCCTATTTCTGCCGCGAAGCAGTAATGCGTTTCGGTTCGAAGGGTGGGGCAGCCGTTGTAATTATACTGAGACCTTAGAACTTATATCTCAAGGAGGGTGGCGCATTTACGTTTAAGATGGGCCTATGGGCTCCAGTAGCCACTTAATACCAGTAAGGCTGTGAGCTCGTCCACCCATCTAAGCAATAAAAAAAATCGGTGCACCTAGAACCGTGCCACTCGAAGTACCGCTCGAAGTCTTTACTGTGTGCTGTAGCGGCTGTCCTTCAAACTGTAACGCATGATAGCGTCGCGATAGAACTAGACAAGATTGCGGCCCGTGGTCAGCTGCAGGTTTATTAAACGCTTATCAAACAATATCCGCATTAATTTTCATAGTAAAACCGACAACGCTTACTAGGTAAATTTATTTAAAAAAAGTTCATAATGTTTCATGCATCGTATAATCAGTGTTTTTTTTTCGGTCCTTCCCCCTCCTGTTCACCGTCAGGTATATTGCTTGTACTTCGCTTGCAAAAGTTAGAACTACAGACAAGTAAGAACAACATCTCTAAGGCTTCGTCAAACAGAACGCGTATTTAGCGCGCGTCAGAGCGCTGAACTGACGGCGCGCTATGACGCCGAGATGTGTTGTACTGTTATGGTAATATACTGTCGAACAGACCGCCAGTGTTATAAGTACGCAACGCTGTGTCGCGGCGTTAGGACGTTTTGACGTTAGGCGTTGTAATTTCTTACAAATTATATTTAACGTCCGAGTCAATGTGTATTAAAATTCTGGATAATGCTCGAAAAATTGCTAAAATTAGTTAGAAAATACCCGTGCTTATACAATACCATATCTGAGTCACTCGACATCTTAATAATTTTAAATTTTCAGACTGCTTTAGAAAGGCACTATGATTTAAGTCGACTATTATCAAAGCCGGCAATCTGACTTTTGAACAATTCTTGGTAAATCAGAAAAACGAATTATTGACTTTGTATTCCATTGGCAGTCACAAAACTCTTCGGAACGACATCTTAGATAAATAACAGGTTAACTATTAACCTTTATTTAATGCAGGTTTTGAACCGTATTCTTTGAAGGAGACGATTATATTCAATTCAATCTGTATTCACATATCAATAACATTTTTTTGTCCAAATGCACAGATTGCCACCTTTGATAATAGACGACTCATTTGGCGGATGTTACGTTGCGTCAAGGAGCGTTGGGTTCGTCTAGTCAATTTGTGTGACATGAAAAGAGCGCGACGTTAAAACGCAGCGCTAAGTACCCGTTCTGTTTGACGAAGCCTTTAACCTTGCAAGTGACGTCGGCGACTAGTAGTAAGGCCACGGCGCGGCGGCTGTTGACTGTGCGGTGTCGTGCCCACAGAGCAGCGCCCGTTCCAGTGCGAGTGGTGCGCCAAGAGCTTCACGCAGCGCTCGGCCCTGGCGGCGCACCGGCGCGCGCACGAGCCGCCCCACGCGCGCGCCCTGCACCTGCACCGCTGCGCGCACTGCACCAAGCTCTTCCTGCACTCCTCCAGTACGTACCCACGCCCCGCCTAGTTCTGCCGTGAAGCAGTAATGCGTTCCGGCTTGAAGGGTGGGGCAGCCGTTGTAACTATACTTGAGACCTTAGAACTTATATCTCAAGGTGGGTGGCGCATTTACGTTGTAGATGTCTATGGGCTCCAGTAACCACTTAACACCAGATGAGCTGTGAGCTCGTCCACCCATTAAAGCAATAAAAAAAAAACGCTCTCTACTCCAAGTGCGCTGAGTGGCTACCGGAGCCCATCAACAACGTAAATGCCTCAGTTCGAAGTTTCAGCTATATTGCATAACAATTGTCCAGGACTGCTTCGTGCCTGTGCTAAACAAGGTGGTGGTAATTTCCGTGCAGGCTCACAATACGCCAATCTATACATATATGCCGCAGAATGGGCCTTCATTATTTCTTGGCATAGTGAGTGTATAGTGGGTAGTCAGAAACAATAACAGTTCCGAGATGTCTCCTTTCCTTAAGTCAAGCAACGAATGTGCCTCGATTCAACCCGAACGATAACACCTCGACTCTGCCGAAGCACACCATCCCAAGTGAGCCGATATTTGAGTATAGTTACGGCTCACATCCACTAGGTGGCGCGCTCTCACTTCGTTTGTCGCGTCCGAATGCGACATCTTATTAAATTTCAATTAAGTATACTATACGCTACTATTAAAACCGTTTATATATCAGAAATCCGACCGTGTGTCTCTTGATTAAAACATTAAAACGATGTGATCTGTGATACGAGTGCATAAGGTTGACAATGCTTTCCTCCCCGAGGCCTGAGTCGGCACATGCTGACGCACAGCGGCCGCGTGTACGAGTGCGGCGGCTGCGGCCGACAGTTCAACGACAAGAGCTCCCTGCTGCGGCACCTCAAGACCGCCAGCCACCGAGACCAGCCCGCCGCGACGTAGGCAGGGCGTGACGCCGGCGGGGCGTGACGCTTGCGTGGCGTGACGCCGGCGGTGCGTGACGTTTGCGGGGCGTGACGCCGGCGGATCGTGATGCTGTAGGGGCGTGACACTTGCAGGGCATGACGCTTGCGGGTCGTGACGCTGGCGTGTCGCTGACGGGGCGTGACGTCGGCGGGGCGTGACGCCTGCGGGGAATGACGCTGGCGTATCGCTAGTGGGGCGTGGAGTCGGCGGGGCGTGACGCTCATGTCGGAGTTGTCATGTAGGGCTTTATTGAACGTTCGTTTAAGAGATTAGTTTCCTAACGTTCTCGGATGATCAAGACAATGTGCAATTTCAAGACGCTATAGCTGAAGAATCTATACAGAATTGTGTTCCTGAAGCTGACTAGTTAAATAAATATATTTGTTATCGTATGTGGCCGTCATGACTAACTATCACACGGTGCGATTTACATTTTCCAACTTTACATAATACTTTACATTTTTCTACAAATTTCCTCTTCAGCTTATATTTTATTTCTTTACTAAATCTTAAAACAAGTACATAACAATTAAATTACAAAATATGTAATATAAATACGAAATATATAGTCTTTGATTGTTTCTCTATCAATCTCTAGTACGTCAAGCATGATAATCTATCGAATTCGTAATGTAAATGTATCGAGTCCTCGATACGAAAACGGATCATTACATTAGATCAATAGTTCCCAGACTTATTTTGTCTATTGCCTACTTTGAGAATAAATTATTTTTTAACACCCCCATTTTTTCAACTTAACTTAAAAACCACTATAGCGAGAGCTCAGTCTGTGCCTTAGAGTCCTCCTAGAAAATTACAAATCGCCTTCCAAGCCTACACAACGCCCCCATTTTTTTCTGGGTCTCTTAGCGCCCCCCTTTAGGCCTGCAGCGCCCACAAGGGGGCGCTATCGCCCACTTTGGGAAAAGCTGCATTAGATGGTAGTACTCGATAGCCAGCTATCCTTCGAGATTTACGTTACCGTATGTCAAAACAATTTTTGTGGTCTCGATTACAAGTTTCGAGTTTCGAGAACGTGATCATGTGATTGCGAAACGAAAATAAGTAAATTAATTCGTGCTACTGAATTTAATTATATTTACGGCCGGTAGGGGCGCTTTTTAAATCCTATACATTTTTTCTCGATACGAATACTTTTTCGATAGTCATTCGTGCTCGCCCCTCAAGTCTATTAGAGTATTATGTACAGTAAATGAAGAACTCAGGGGTCGGTAACCGTGTGCTCTGTCGGCACAGATAATGCCAACAACTTCACTGCCACTAGTGGTTGGTCGATATCGATAGTTGGATATATCGACACTTTGATATACCGTTATCGAAACATAGGCTTTAAAAGTACAAGATGGTTTTTGAATTTTGTTATTTTAATAGGAATAGCTAACAACTAGCCAATTTTGTATTTAATTCCCCTTGAAATACACAATTAAATCAAATCGAGTAATGGAAATGATTCAAATCTGTTAAACAAAAGAAAATCTAACAATGATTGATTAATGATTGCTGGTAGCAATTGGTGTTTTTATTTATTTGTTGCATAGATTGGTGGACGAGCTCACAGCCCAGCTGGTGTTAAGTGGTTACCGAAGCCCATAGACATCTACAAGGTAAATGCCGCCACTTACCTTGAGATATGAGTTCTAAGGTCTCAGTAAAGGTACAACGGCTGCCCCGACCTTCATACCGAAACGGACTTTTTTGCTTCAGGGCTGAAATAGGCAGGGTAGTGAAACCTACCTGTGCGGACTCACAAGAGGTCCTACCACCAGTAAAAATATATTATATTGCTCTCCTTATTTCTACCCGCCTTAATAATTAACTTTTAAAATTTGTACGTACATACGTTGTGCAAGTCGTATCTGTGAAAATTCTCGAATAAACTACAAATTTAATAATATACATACAAATTGACTTTCAAAAGCTTTGATTGAGAAATGTTTTTCAATGTTATGATAAATTAAAATGTGTTAAAATGTACATAATATATTTGTTTGTGGTGTTGTTATTGCTGTCTCTAAGGGGGGTCCCCTCAGAATAATATATTGATAATTATGTAAAACCGAAGTGTCTTCAGTACAATCCAGAAAAATAAATTATTATGTATTCATACTTTATTGTTGAACCACAGTTTTTGGTTTTAGACTCAAATATACGTATTATTATAATAATAATTAACTTGTGGCGACTCATCCGCCACTACTTGGGCAACCGCCTTATAATCGCTGTCGCTTGTGATTTAGGCCATCATCCATTATTGTTGTTCAAAATACGTTCGGGAATACTTCGACAATCTTGGAAACTGCGGGCAGTACATATTCATACTCACTGTGTTACCCATCCTTCGTGTCAGTGCCTACCCAATACAGTTTGCTTAGTACGAGTTTTTGAAGTTATACTTCTTTAGACGCGTTATGAAAAATAGATGAGAGTGAAATTTTACGATGCACGCGCACCGTGACACAAAATTAACATAATGAAGTTGCCCTACTAAATCGCTCATTACAATACGACCGACGTAACTTGGCGAGTCTGAATATAGCCGCAGGTGAACTTTCCGAACCGTACCGAGAATTACCGAATTTATACGATGTCAAGAAAAGGGATGTCCAATATGCGTGTTTGAGGATGTTGTTTAATCGATTTTTTTTCAAATTGATTAAAATTTAAATTAAAAAAAAGAAATAAATTTAATAAAAATAAAGTATAACTTCTTACGCGCGTACATAAGTACACGCACCCTTTTTTTTTAACGTTCTCGATAGCGTAAAAGTTAGCTCATATTTGTATGGAATCGGATCGTTTGCCTAAGTTTGCCGCTAGGGGCGCTGTTCTAACTGCATACAAAATTGGGCTAACTCTTACGCTATCGAGAACGATAAAAAACTCGCACTAAGCACACAGTTAGTGAAGTAGCACTACTACTGCTGCTCCTACAGAGGAATTGTAAGGCGGTTGCCCAAGTAGTGGCGGATAAGTGAGTCGCCACAAACTAATAAAGTTACAATAATTTGAAATATACATCTGTAAGTGTTTTATTGTTAACTAGCTGACCCGGCAGACTTCGTAGTGCCACAATCGATAGTTAAAAGATCTAAGGGCCTGTGCACACCACGTTTTTTAAACGCGCCGTCGACGCGCGTTCGTAGCGATACAGACGCGATACGCACGCAAGTCAGACGCAGCCTGTAGACCTTTGCACACCTGTATAAATTCGAATACGCGTTTGAATCGATACAAACAACAAGAAACCATTCTGTGGGATAAAAACGCGCCTTCGACGTGCGTTTGTAGCGATACAGATGCGATGCTAATGCGCGCTTGTATCGGTACACATGCGCGTTAGCATCGCGTTGGTATCGATACAGACGACAACAAACCGCTCTGTAGGATAAAAGCGCGCCTTAAAAAACGTGGTGTGCACAGGCCCTAAGCTTTTGTATAAATAAACTTAAAACAAACAAAAGGAATCCGTCCGACGGGGGACACTTCAAAGGGAAAACAAAATTGTTATTTTTATTTGATTCCGAGCATTTTCATATTTATCTACCTTTTAAACCTTCTCTGGACTTCCACAAATAATTCAATACCAAAATAAGCCAAATCGGTCCAGCCGTTCTCGAGTTTTAGCGAGACTAACGAACAGCAATTCATTTTTATATATATAGATAGCTAGATATAGGTGAATGAGATATTATTAATGTTGTATGTGTATGTTGTTTAATGTTGATTTATGACATTTCAAATATGCAAACGCAGAGTTAATGTTGTTTTTAAATGAAATGTAATGCAAACGAATTGAGTAGAAATGTTGCAATAATCAAGAGTATATTTAAATATAAATTGTGTTTTATTATTGTTTTTGTTATGTGCCCACTGCGACCCTTGCGTCTGTTGTATTCGTCCAGGTCCAAACCCAGCATGAACTAGACAACCCATGACTTCTCGGGGTAGAGTATGTTCTCTGAGTTTTATTTGCTGCTGAAGGGGCAAGAGCCACGCAACCTGCGAAGAGTTTCCTGTTCTTTCTCCTATATTGAAATGACAGGGCCAGAGATGAAACGGCAATTGTTTCGGCAATTCACTAGTGTGCTTAGTGCGAGTTTTTTAACGTTCTCGATAGCGTAAAAGTTAAACGAAATTCGTATGCAGTTGCCCTTAGCGGCAAATAAGTCAAAAAACTTATTAAGCACACAGATGTTTTTTTTCCTACCTAAGCTGAGAGCCTTGAGAGGTTATTTCAGCGTAGCCTTAACTAGTAGGTGAGCTCGCGGGGCTCAAATCTGACGACGTTGCTAACACGAACCTTGGCCGTGCTTCGCAGAATCTACCACCGGATCTGAAAGGCGACCCACTAAGAAGATCTGGCGGGAAACTCAATGGGCTGTGTTTGTGGGTTAATTTACTCGTCGAGCCCTTCGTCGCAAGCGACGGGTTCGACGAGAACGGTGACCGGAGTACTAAAACACGATGCCGATGCTTAAAACGAAATTTTATAACTATTGTTAATCAATCTGCATAAACTCTCTCGAGTGTGAAGATTCAAAAGTTTGCACTTTCGGAGGAGGTTTGGAGATAATGATTTTATATTTTCTCAATCCAAACAACATTAAACACAACATATTATATGGGTGGGACGCCCTAAGTACCACGTGTATTTAATTATTTCTTTTACCATAAAATATTTCGTTGTTTCCATAATATATTGGAAACAAGTTGAAAAACTTGTCAACTTCTAACGCGAAATAAATAATTGTTAAAAATCTTGAAATAAAACGCCTTTTATTTTACTTAAACATTTTATTGAAAAAAAAGAATGATCGAAGGCAACATGGTATTTATTTAATTTAGCGAGTAATGACAAGGGGTGAGCTAACGTGGCGAGCCACCACGGCCCGCGGCGAACGGATGGCACTTACGGTCACACGGCACGTCTGCCACACGGGACACCAACAACTAAACGCCACCGCTTCAATGGAATGCCTTGTAAACTTAAAATTAACATTTAAAAATCCTATACTCTTTCTATTTCGGATTTTGTTCAAAGCGGACGCGAGACGCCACGTCACGCAAAGTTATATAGTAGTACTAAAGGAGAAAACGAATATTGGGAAATATTAAATTACACTTGAAGCTCCTATCTCCTACAATCTATAATATAAATGATTATAAAAATAAATTAAGGGGCGACCCTCCCCTCCCTCTCACCCTCCACTCGCTGCGACGCCAACGACGAATTGAGCAACAACATTTTCAAGTAAAATTATTCTCCCGACAAAAATGTAAATGTAATAAAAAAAGGAAAAATTTTTAGGAAAAAATTAATAGTTTTCCCATTAATGGAAAACTACTACCCTCTTGAATTATTTTGATGTGAAATATATTCTTAATATGGAAAGTACAGTAAATATTGGAGTGTTTGTAATGTAATATTTGTGTCGGCGCTGAAACAGATGATGCTGTAGGCAGGTCCGTCGGCGTCCCAGCGCGCGCGACACAAACAACCGCGTATCAAGTAAATAAACAACAAAACTATCATTTTATCATTAATTAATTAATTAATAATAATAATAATCGTATCTCTAACGCGAAATCAAATGATGCTTTGAAAACACACGATATACAAAAGTCAATTTAGAATTAATACAAAACTAAGTACAGTAACGTTGCGAGATGTGTTTACGTTTGTGTGTGTTGATCGCAGCAGCCGACCGTGACAATGACAGTGTCGACGCTGTGCGGACAATGAGCGGACTACCCTCAAGTTACCCCCCCACTAACCGGAATTAGGATGTTATTTACAAAACAAATCACACAAACGAAACCGTCTCGGTACTCCCGATTCAGTGTTGCCACGTACATCACGTTGGGTCATTGATTTTCTGAATGTATTATAATTGGAAAAAATCTGAACTTTGCCCTTTACTCATTATTATAGACTTTATTAAATTATTCGGTTATAGCACATGGTCTAAAATAATTAATCACTATTAAGTAAATAATAAAATCAATATTTACATTTAACAGTCAACTTCGGTAACTTTGACTGCATCGCGTTGTGACATCGACAGTTGGAAATTAAACTGTGTCTGGCCGCACCAATGTATGCTTTTTTGGATTTATTTAATTAATAAATGATGTGAATCCCATTAAAAATATAAATCTAATGCCGCGAGTACATTAAAAAGCCAAAAGTTATATTAAAAGTTCAGAGTCTCCCGATGAATCATCTCTGTAAACAGTAAACATGTACTCGATTCAACTTCGAACTGTCAATGTTGCCGGAGAGAAACCAAAGTTTCCAAGATTGTCTGTGATAGTCTCTACTTTTCCTCTTTAGCCCGACGAGTCCTTCTAACACGTAAGCACCACGGCATTCAATTCAACCAACCAATTTTGAAGAGTGTTAAAGCAAAGATATTTAGTGACATTTAAACAAGGCACTTGATCATTTATATCTCAAACTATGAAAGTATTTCGAATACACAGTATTGCCACGTTCTTTTTGTTTTAATTTGGTTCACTCAATTTAATTAATGTTAATTATGAAATGATCTATTTTGCTAACACTCCTCGTTTAACTAGTTGACAATCTCGCGTGACAACAACAATGTTGCCAGGACGGTGTATAAAAATATATAATAACTTTTATAATATACTACTCTTAATATACGTGTGCTCTGTGCTCGCACACCCACATTACTCCTACCCATTTACATGAAACACACGGATCTATGGGAATCATTTTTGTTTGGTACCGATCGTCATCAGTGTCATTAACAATGTCAGTAACACTGATGTCGGGATGCTAACTTTACGTAACAGACTTTTAAGCCTAAACTAGTAATTCAATTGTATCTTTCTCTTTTTCTAATGGACATTCGTTAAATCTAGACTAGGTCTGGTGTGAAGTCCGTGCACACATTCCCCAATACTATATGTTACATACGAATACATGAGCTTACAAGCAGTACGGCCACCGGACTCTGCACGTCGACATGCTGGGAGCTAACGGAGCTGCTACGGGAAGAGTTTAGTTTTGGTAAGATAATTTATTTTGAATACGTTGTGACACTTTACAGTGTTGCCAGTTTAAAGAATTACTACTACGAACAGTAGTTTTTTTTTAAAAAAGTACAAAATTTGTGTATTTTATATACGCTACATTATTTAATTTACACACCCGAGCTCGAAGATACGAACAGCTCTTAGTCACTGTTCCTATTAATTAATACTGAATGACAATTTGGGAAATACTAAAATATCGTTACAATTTACTATCGATTGTACAAAAATCGATATTCAGTTTATTTTGAGCGCGATTCTGTGATTTATGTGTCGTGTGCAGGTCAGCTCCCTACAGTCAGCGCCGGCGACGTTAAGTTACATGTTCTCGAACTGGTCGACGCGACGTTTGGTGTTGCCCTTGCGGATCTCGCGGAGCGTCTTGTACTTGTCTCGTCCCTGGCGGACGTTCTCGCGGTGGATCTTGTCCATGGCCGTCTCTTTAGTTTCGTCGCGGGACTGCGCGAGGTCTTGTTTCAGCGCCTGTTGGAAAGATACCGAGATTTTATATAACATACAAAAAAAAATTAGATAATTTAATTTTATTGTTTTTTTAAAAGGCTCGTCGTGTGCTCACTGATCGACAAAAATTAAATTTTAATCTTTTCACAAAATGCAATTTTCAAACACTCACGGTGTGGAGTCGAGCAATTGTTTGAGCTATATATCTCTGTTGTTTAATTCAGTTAAAGTTAACAAATATATAGCACAAATCCATCTACCCTACCATTTCAAAATAAGTTTATTCTAGACCTTATCCTTTAATATCTCTAAGTTTTAAAATAATACGAGTATAGTTTGTATGGCTAAACTCTGTCACACTCGCAGTGAGATGCTGTTGAATATAGGTTGGCAGCTCCTTGCCGCGGTGCACCGTGAGAGCACTGTTAGTTACCTTGAGCTGGTTGTGTAGCCGCTCGTTCTTCTCGGCCAAGGTGGTCCTGGCCTCGACCGGGTCGACGAGGTCGTCGGGCGCCTGGTGCAGGTCTCCGCCGCCGGACTCCTCGCCGTGGTCGGAGCCGTCGTCCACCCCGCCGTCCTCGGCCACGTGGTGGTGCTGCGGGGTGGTGGCGGCCGCCAGGAGCGCCGCGGCCTCGTCCTGCTTGCGCCGGGCCTCCTCCACCTCGTCTTGCAGGCGCCGCGTCTCCGAGTCCTTGAGCTCGACTTCGGTTTGTATGCGTTGTACTTCCTCTTGTTTAGTGCGGATTTCCTCTTCTAACTTGGCACGTTCTGCTGCTTCCATATTCTATAACAAAATTATTTACATTTTTTTTTATTGTTTAGGTGAGTGGACGAACTCACAGCCCACCTGGTGTTAAGTGGTTACTGGAGCCCATAGACATCTACAACGTAAATGCGTCACCCACCTTGAAATATAAGTTCTAAGGTCTCAGTATAGTTACAACGGCTGCCCCACCCTTCAAACCGAAACGCATTACTGCTCCACGACAGAAATAGGCGGGGCGGTGGTACCTACCCGTGCGGACTCACGAGGTCCTACCACCAGTAAATAAAAAGTTCAAAAAAGTAAACAATATATTTTATTACAATATCAATACATACAATGTCATTTTCATTCCCCAATTTCCTAAAGTTGAAATGGAGAAGGGATGAACGAATTCATAGATAAATTTCAGTCATACATTTGAGTTGCATTAAAAACTAAGCGATCCTATAAACTACTCTTTGGGAGTCAGTACACAAGTCATTTGTTTCTTGAACGAATATTGTTTGTAACCGAATAGGGCGAACGCTCATTATTAAAAATATGATAGTAGATCATATTTTTAATAATGATCATATTTTAATAAATCTACTGGATTTCTCCTCGTTATAAATTTATAACATTTTACTTCACTTGATTACGTAAATTTTTTTTTTTTTTCTCTTATGTTTTAATGTCTCGTAGCGATCTGTTTTTCAGTTAACAATGAGCTATTCCTCTGGCTGAATTTATTCTTAATAGATTTATAAACAGAATCAGATGTCCAGTGACACCTTCATCTTTTATTGTTAGATTTAATTTCTGTTGTATAAGGTAGGTATACTGTGCCTCCTTAATCTAGTAAACTGCACAGCTCCTGTGCCTCCTAGGTCCGATGCCAATTTATTGACGTGTGTCGATAACCTGGCTTGATATTTTTTGCTGTAAGCTACTATTTCCTCTTTCACTGTGGGAATATTTAGGTCCATTTGTATGATCTTGTTGCTTATGTAATGCGGTATTCTTAGCATTGTTCTGAAAGTTTTATTTTGAAACCTTTCCAGGATCTCGACGTTGCTATTGCTGGCAGTTCCCCAAAGCTGTATGCCATATGTCCATATTGGCTTTAAGATGGTTTTGTAAATTAAAATTTTACTTGTTGGCGAAAGCTGGGATTTCCCTCCAGTCAACCAGTAGATTATGTAAATGAATCATTTTGTACAGTGAATAAGCTCTGTTTTTTATTAAGCAAGTAGGTTACCTTGGTCTCCTCGAGTCTCTGCATCATGTCGTGCAGCTCTCCCTGTCTCCGCTCCAGCTCCTCCTTGGCGGCCTGCAGCTGCTTGAGCTGTTCTTCCAAGCGCCGGATCATGTCCTGGGCCTCGAGCAAGTTGGCCTGCATCATACAATAAACATTTCCTGAATTGTGTCCTCCACTGTAGCAACACGGCGTTGGTTTTAAAGAAACTAAACAGACTTGCGCCCTCCTTAATATCGATACTTATCGATAACGCTGCAATAGTGTTTCGATAGCGATACATCTCTAGTCCTGGGGAGGGGAGCAGCGCACGCGGGACTTTTTGGCGGGAACGCGAGGAGTGAAGTCGTGTGATTTGTTTTATTTTGTCTATTTAGTGTTAAATATGTAATAACTGTGGTTTATTAACTGTTTAATATCTGTGAAAGTGCACAAATATGGGAAAATGAAACAAAGCTGCTGGATGTAAATTCTCGGGATCCTTCAAAAAGTCCCCTGAAAAAAATCTCAGTAAATGACCACCATTTTAATGATATTATATTTCATCCCATATCATTTTATTTTATTTAATTTGATCTCAGTTGATTAATGTCTTTTTTTATTTTATTTTTATTGCTCTTGTAGGCAGACGAGCATACGGCCCACCTGATGGTGAGTGGTTACCGTCACCCATGGACTTCAGCAATGCCATGGGCAGAGCCAAGCCGCTGCCTACCGCTTAATACTCTCCACAAGCCTCGTTTGAAGAAGGACATGTCATAGCGCTCGGGAAACACCGTGGAGGGGAGCTCATTCCATAGCCGGATGGTACGTGGCAAAAAAGATCTCTGGAAACGCACTGTGGATGACCGCAGTGGCTCCAGGTAGTATGAATGAACTACTCCGGTGGCGGGCGGTGCGATGGTAAAAACGAGATGCCGGTATCATCTCGAACAATTCCTCAGAGCACTCCCCATGGAACATACGGTACAGAATACAGAGGGAACCGAAGTCCCTCCGCAGAATGTCTCAAATTAATCACCTTTATTTCATTTTATTTCACTCCATATTATCATTTTTCATAAAAATAAGAATAAAAACTAAAATAAGACATGACTTAAATGTCTTAGTTAGCAGGTTATAAAATCTCTTAAGAAAAAGCGCATGGGGCGTGGCACAGCTGTCCATATTTGCACATAGTTAGCAGGCCGACACACTCTGTGAGCTAAATCGTTTGAAGATTTCTTAGAGTTAAAATAATGAGCACAGCACTAACCTGTGACCGCTCCATCTCCTCCTGCATCTGCCGCAGCCGGTCTTCGTACTCTTGTTGCTTCTTCTCGGCACGCTCCCGCGCGGCTATCTCCAGCTGCAGCTTCTTTCTGTAAACAAGAGGAAGCTTTGCATTATTTAAATGTTTACACTTTTTTTATTGCTTAGATGGGTAGACGACACAGCCCACTTGGTGTTAAGTGGTTACTGGTGCCCATAGACAACGCAAACCACCTTGAGATATAAGTTCTAAGGTCTCAAGTATAGTTACAACGGCTGCCTTATCCTTCAGACCGAAATGCATTACTACTTCACGGCAGAAATAGGCAGGGTGGTGGTACCTACCCGCGCGGACTCACAAGAGGTCCTACCACCAGTAAACTTTGTGTTGCGGAGTGAGTGGGTGTGTTGTGTTGTGTGGTCACCTCTGCGCCTGCTTGGCGAGCTTCTCCTCTCGCGCCTGCGCCTTCATCTGCTGCACGTCGATGGTGTCGGGCTTGCGGCGGCGCATGTACAGCTCGTGGTTGCCCATGCACAGCGCGAGGATGCGCTTGTTGACGCGGACGCGCGGCGCGAAGAACACGAAGTCGGGCGCCTTCTTGTCGATCGGCTTGATGATGAACTTGCGGTCGTTGAACGAGATGTTCCGGATTTCAGACCAGGGGAAGCCGATTTTCGGGGTCAATCTGAAAATTTTATTTCAATTAGTTAGGTACAAGATTCAATATTTTCGAAATTACAAATGAAAAATTGGATTTTTTTTAAATACAGGATGTCACTTTTTTTTATTTTACAGATTTATTTATTTTATTGTTGTAAGTATATTAACTTTGATTTTTACTTTAAAAAAAGGATTGTCAATGCAATATTAGTAAAAAGTGAATACGATCATGCATTGCATCAAAGGTTTTTTTTGTCTATAAAACTTTTTAAGACTGAAATGTTAATAAAGAATGGGTTGCATTAACAATGTACATTAAGCACATTTTATTTAATTCAGTATATTTAAAATGACAATGTTTTCTGTAATTTGTGCTGACCAGTTGAAGTATCGTGGAAGTTACGTCAATTATAATCAAAACAAACAAATACACTTGTAGTTAACAGAATATTAAACGACGCATATCTACAGGGTGTAACACTTACTTGTCATCCTTCTCATAGATATTGAGCCCGAGGGCATCAACACCGAGCCATAGCTCTGTGTTTTTCTTGTTGCGGATCTCGAAGTAGTTGACGCCGTACATCTCCAGGTCCTGAGCGATCTTCAGGTACTCCATCATGGCGTCTTCGCGGAGCATCTCGCGGTGTTCCTGCCACCAGTTCGTGATGCTCTGCTCCCATTCCTCGCGGGACATCTGACGAGAGAAACAGTTACTGGTGGTAGGACCTCTTGTGAGTTCGCGCGGGTAGGTAGGTGCCACCACCCTGCCTATTTTCTGCCGTGAAGCAGTAACGCGTTTCGGTTTGTAGGGTGGGGCAGCCGTTGTAACTATACTTGAGACCTTAGAACTTATATCTCAAGGTGGGTGGCGCATGTTGTGGATGTCTATGGGCTCCAGTAACCACTTAACACAGGGTGGGCTGTGAGCTCGTCCACCTATCTAAGCAAAAAAATGTCTATGGGCTCCAGTAAACACTTAATACTAGGTGAACTGGTCCATCCATCGATGCCACTCATGATGAAAAAATCCTAACAAAACTGAAAAAGCTAATAATAATGATGATCTTAAGACAGCTTACCTTGTGTTGGTCGGTCACTCTTTGAGGAAGTAAACGGTCATTGGCCAGGAATCCCGGCCCGTGCAGAGCGGGATTGTGTTCTCCGTGTCTGGCTTGGACCGCGTACGAAGCCAACAACACCGAGGTCTCCGGAGGGCAGTATATTTCATCGGATAAAATCGCGTTTTTCACCTAAAAACCGAAAAAACACAGGTTATAATTACGACAACTTATCGAAGTGAAGACTTCTTGAACTGCCGTTGGGATTTGAAACGAAAAATCGACACTGAAAAGAGACACTGAAAGAGAGAGAGAGAGAGAGAGAGAGAGAGAGAGAGAGAGAGAGAGAGAGAAGTATACATACCTCTACAGCATTTAGCGTACGAGAGATGAAATATCTATTGCATACTTCAATTTTTTTGGGCATGTATTGGATGAAGGGTAATGCCATTCAGTTTCAAATACAACAGGCCGTTGTCCGATGGTTGAAAAAAAAAAAAAAAACAGTGTTGCCAACAAGCACGGACTTGAAATATGATCCACCTGACAGTGCAGTAATACGACAAAACAGATAGCTATAGGACTTATTCACAATTTCTGTTGTCTGAAATAGACCACTGTTAGCGCCAATTCTAGTCGGACTAATTTTATAGTTGAACACACTGTTCTTTGTGAAGCAATGCGTTCCGGCTTGAAGGCTATATCTATACTAATCTATACTAATATTATAAAGAGGAAATATTTGTTTGTTTGTTTGTATTGAATAGGCTCCGAAACTACTGAATCGATATGAAAAATTCTTTCACTGTTTGGAAGCTACACTATTCCCGAGTGACATAGGCTACAATCTTTTTTGAAAAAAATAAATAGGGATCCTTACTAAAAACTCCAATAATGTAACCCAAGGTGCAAAAAATTTACCTAAAATATTCTTTACATCGCGTGCCCTGCGAAAACTATTGATGATAGAATAAAATAATGTACTACGACTTTGTAGAGTACATTATTATTTTAAAAAGTGTCGCGACAGCATATGTCTAACTATTATAATTATGTCGCAATAAGTGTTCTTTTATTTAAAAAAATAAAACAACGTCAAGTATCGTTGAAGTTTTTTTAAAGACCCGAGCGGAGCCGGAGCGGGCCGCTAGTATATTTGTGAAGTACTTAAAACTTCGACCTGTAGCTTAAATATAGGTATTTATGTAGTCTGTATTCCCCTGTTAAAATAATAGACCAGAGTTCATCTGTTGAGCCCTGCCAGCCACTAAAGAATCAAAAAATGGCATTATTAAAGGACCTAAAGCCGCATCAATAAGTCGATTGACAAGTAAAACTGACACACAGTTTACAGACCTGTAGATAGAAGAGTTTCAATGTGATCTCCTGTATGAGCTCATCGGCGACATCCTCAGGATAGAATTTGGCTCGGAATTTGAACTGCAGTGGATTCTCTTTCTTGACGTCTTGTTGCATCACCTGAAATAATAATATTTATTTGATTATTGTGGTTTATTAAACTCCGATATATTTTTTTAAATAGATTGACAGACAAGCCCTCCAGTTCAGCTCAGTTGTTGTAATTTGGTTGCTGGAGCAAACAGATATAACAGTGCGATTGTGTCCATGAGACCAAGGTAACAATTTTGTTGGGCTAATGATGTGGTCTGTCCTACGGTTTAAGCCGGAGTGTATAACTCGTTAACGGCAATAATGACAGGGTGATCACATCAGCCCAAAATATTCCAGAACAGTCTTTCGCCATACACACTTTAATTGTAGGACAGCTTATAAAAAACTAATAAACAATGTCTACAATTACAATGTACAACCACTATGATCTTCACACTATTTCTGAACACACACGTCCACAATGGATCTTATGCTACAGGCGAGCCAGTAAAGTCAATGCGACCTTCGTCAAGGACTATGCCATCAACACATTGCCAGCTGCGGGCAATTGTGAACACTATGTACTTACTAAGTCCAGAAAAATAGTAGTACATGTGATCAGTCCATACGAACTTCTGATCGCCAGAGAAAAATTCGACATTGGTGCATCCAACTCACTTCATTAATATGTGTATTCACAAATAGTTGAAGCATATCGACGCTTGAAAGGCAAACGTGACTAAGCGACAATGCGTGAACTTTACAGTAGACTAATTTAAAGTTGAAATTAATTTAAAATATACTTGAGAAATACCTGAAAAAATAAATATTTTAACGAATCTAGCTGTACGATTGAAATGATTTTAATAGACCTAGAAATATTTTTTTATTTGCCCATCGAATACAGTTATTGCCTATCATTTATGTATAAGACAGTTATTGTCGCTTTGTCACGTTTGCCTTTCAAGCGTCGATGTGTATATGTATGTTTATAAGCATATGTCTTATAAAACAATAACACTCCTTGGAGCTCGAGGTATTGATAGAAGCATATCTCACCCAACTGGAGAATGGGAGTGACCCTGACTTCGTTGTGTGCCGATGTATCCAGGGTAAGCGTTAAAAAGGCAACAATTAATTACAATTCAGTTTCAGCTGATTTCAAATTCCATTAACGTTGTATGAAATGTCAATATTCGATTGAATATATATTTTTTATACTAAACAATACACGGGCCTTATTATTAAGGGATAATGTTAATACTACCCACAATCTACATAAATTTTAATTAGAACAGAATTTCATCTTGAAAATATATTACCTATGAGTCATACTGTACATTTTATCTTCTTTTTGTTTCTATCTTAAAGTGGTGGTTACCGGAGCCCATAGACATTACAACGGCAATGCCACCACCGACCTTGAGACATGAGGTCACAGCCTCAACTGTAATGTGTGACGGCTGTCCCACCGTTGAATTCGGAATGCATGACGGCTTCGTAGCAGAAATAAACAAGATAAGAACGCTGCTGACCATTCTACGCCTAAACCTAAGCCCATTAGACGCCTTTTAGGACTACCAGAGGAGATAGAGAGGCCGCACGGTTTTCTGAACCGATTTAAAATTAATAGTACACGCTCTAACAAGTACGCGGCTTAGTTGCAATTCGTCAGCGATTGTTTTAACTGGCTTCTAGCCTTGAGTATTTGTGACCACACAATAATATTTAAATGTAGGTGAAAAGGTTAAATATTTGACTCTAAAATAACATTTCAAGAGCACGATACCTACCTAAATAAGCAAAAAAATATTAATTAGCATAATATTAACAAATCCTTATTGGCATAGCCGAATATTCTAGCAAACATAGCTTGGAACCAGCGCACAACACACATGTTATCAAATTGTCCTCCAAGCCAGAACTTTCCGAATTAGTTCAGAGCAGAAAAGACAGAAAATGACCTACATGCCAGTAGTAGCAAACCTCGCAAACTTACAAATTTCTAAGGGTTTTATTTTCATTACGCGTTCTCATAATTTTTATATTCAAATGCTATACTTCCTTCAAAACATGCTCGTCACAATAAAATTATAAATACGTACGTAAATGAAAAAGAATGTGTATTATTTACGTTACGTAGGTACGTGTATGCGAGAGTACCACAGTCACTGATAAGATAAGTAAATACGATAAAAAAAAATATATACGAAAGCGAACATCCGACGAACGTTTTGTATGTACTCGATGTTTGCAGAGTACTCTGACCGCGATGCCGAGGGCGGGGACATATTTAAAATTTAATAGTATTTTGACTATATTTTTAGCAACGGCTTAATAATTTAAATAAATAAAAACAATACAAAAGTGGGTAGGAACGATCGACACAGAATATTAAATCTAAGACAAGTGAACGCTGCGCGCGCTTCCAGCAAAAGTGATCCGAGGTGGCGTGATGTCCCCGCTGGTCGGTCGGTTGCCCCTCCAGATGACGAGTTGCCCCTCCAGATGACGTCACGAGTCCNAATATTAAATCTAAGACAAGTGAACGCTGCGCGCGCTTCCAGCAAAAGTGATCCGAGGTGGCGTGATGTCCCCGCTGGTCGGTCGGTTGCCCCTCCAGATGACGAGTTGCCCCTCCAGATGACGTCACGAGTCCACGTGAGTGCTCGTCGTCAATGGCTCCGCCCATCGACTTTGACTTAAGAGGCAGTCGCCTCTAATAATATATATATATTTAATAGTATTATTAGTATTTTTACTGGTGGTAGGACCTCTTGTGAGTCCGCGCGGGTAGGTCGGCTGTTGGAAGTCGTCGTGGCCTAAAGGTTAAGACGTCCGGTGCATTCGTGTTGAAGCGATGCAACGGTGTTCGAATCCCGCAGGCGGGTATCAATTTTTCTAATGAAATACGTACTCAACAAATGTTCACGATTGACTTCCACGGTGAAGGAATAACATCGTGTAATAAAAAAAAAACCGTAATTACTGGTGGTAGGACCTCTTGTGAGTCATGCGTTTCGGTTTGAAGGGTGGAGCAGCCGTTGTAACTATACTAAGACATTAGAACTTATATCTCAAGGTGGGTGGCGCATTTACGTTGTAGATGTCTATGGGTTGCAGTAACCTCTTAACACCAGGTGGGCTGTGAGTTCGTCCACCCATTTAAGGAATAAATAAATAAAAAAGATTCAGAAGAACTGTCATTTTACACGGATCCGTCTAGTTTTTTAAATTGTTTTCTTCTTTTGTATGTTCGAATATATTTAAATAGATATTATCATAAATATTTTCAAATTGATATTTGTAATATCACAATACGAACTAATTACAATTTCACCTTGTGAATCCGATATGGAAATTTATTGTTTGCCATTAAAACACGACATCTGACAAGTGTTTAGCAACTACTTCAACGATAAAAAAAACTATAACATTTTGTTCTAAAAATAAAATCCCGAAAAAAAATATGTATAAACCTTTAATTACCAGTTATTGTGGAGCTTATAAAGTCACACAACTTCACTATCATAGACATGTATTATCTTAGCTTACACTCAAAGACGTGAGCGATTGTAGACAAACGAATCTTTTGATTTATTATTTAAAGTTTTTTTGGCGGGAACGCGAGGAGTGTGACGTTGTGTGATTGGTTTTATTTTGTCTATTTAGTGTTTCTTCAGGTTTAAATGTGTAATAAGGGTGGTTTATTAACTGTTTAATATCTGTGAAAGTGCACAAATGTGGGAAAATGAAACAAAGCCGCTGGACGTAACTTCTCGGGATTCTCCAAATAGTCCACTGAAAAATCTCAGTAAATGACCACCATTTTTCGGAGATTATATTTCATCCCATATCATCTAATTTCATTTAATTTCATCCCAGTTGATTAATATCTCAAATTAATCATCTTCATTTCATTTCACTCCATATTATCATTTTTCATAAAAATAAGAATATAAATTAAAATAAGACATGACTTAAAGGTCTTAGTTCCACCAGGTCATAAAATCCCTTAAAAAAAAGATGTAAAATTATTCTTTAAAATACTAGTACAATCTATGCAAACACCCCGCTCAAATTCAAATTACTCCTAGTCCAAAATCTAGCTCATTCTACGACAAACTCTTAAGCCCTCAAGGTTACCAGATCGTCTCCTCTGTCGTAAGCTGCCTCTTCGTCGTCATCTTCAGGAGTGGATAGTTTCTTGACGGCGGTCGTAATGAACTTCGCCGTCTTTTCCACTAGTGATTCTGGCTTTTTTATGGATACAATTTATATTATTAGATTTAAATGCAGACGAAAGGGTTTAAGTTTTGATTGAAAATTTTTATTACTCTTTCGAAAAATATGAGGTACATCGTTACCCTGCTGATTGTGAACTAAACGCAACTGATTAAGCACTGCTTCGAGATTGGTAAGTATTATTATAAATTCCATCCTATCATAATTATTTTCAAAATTCTTAAATTACAGGTACAAAGTTTCAAACAAATACCATTCTACATCGAGTAATGTATAGAAAATAATCCACTATTCACACTATGTACTGACATTAATTTGAATGCTTTGAAAATTACAACTAGCAGATTCACTTGGGTGGTTACCGTTGATTGTGGCCAGTGTTGCCAACTCAGTGGAATTCCCACAAAATTTTAGTGATTTTTTCTAGTGACTTTCGTTGCTTCAGCCAGTGATAAGGTATGAAACTTAACCATTAGCACGATTTACATATTAATTCAGTAATCTTGAATTCATTGTTAAAGAAACATGTGACTGGTTCAGCTGTTATCGTCCAGGAAAGTCGTCGTGGCCTAAAGGATAAGACGTCCGGTGCATTCGTTGTTGCGATGACCGGTGTTCGAATCCCGCCGGCGGGTACCAATTTTTCTAACGAAATACGTACTTAACAAATGTTCACGATTGACTTCCACGGTGAAGGAATAACATCGTGTAATAAAAGTCAAAAACCCGCAAAATTACAATTTGCGTAATCACTGGTAGGACCTCTTGTGAGTCCGCACGGGTAGGTACCACCGCCCTGCCTATTTCTGCCGTGAAGCAGTAATGCGTTTCGGTTTGAAGGG